CGAATATGTCCGCATCTTCTCTGCTTCATCGTCTCGAAAGGGGAAGATGGCTCGGCGACGCTTTGTTGGCATCTCGCCGCTTACTAGCGACCTTGGCCGTTACATCCTCCCTAACTTTGTACCGCCTACCGACGCCTTTTCGCATCGGCAATCGGTTCAAGGCGGTTGAGCCGCAATTTGCGGCCAATCCACGCTTAAGGGGCGAGACACGAATCATCGCCGCTTCGGTCATGACCATTACTCGGGAAACATAAAGGAGACAACAACAAATTTTTTGTTGCAACATAAATCTACAGCACAAGGAGGCATCATTTACCTTTGGGGAGGTCGGCCCACTTTGAAGGCGTGCTTCGATGTCGTTTAACTCGACATAATTGGGGTCGGCTAGATTGAATAGCTCCCCAATTCCGCCTTGATTTCTATCTTGTCGAGCGCCTCTTTTCTCGGTCCTCGCTTGATCTCGCACTACCCCGTACTCGCCGTGATGTACCTCTTTTGGCGGTGGTGGATCCTTCGGTGATGAAGTTCCCGACCATGCTTAGACCATCCAGCTTTTCCCCACGGATCAACCCGAGCAGCGCCTCAGATCTCGCCCCAAGTGCTCGGGCTTCCCGACCAAATTGTTCTTCTTCTCCGTAATGAACCCCACGTCACACATGTGGTGATTGTGTTCGGCTCTTCATGGATGTAGAACCATTTCTTGTACCATTCGGCCCAAAGGAGGTGTTCCATTGGCAAGTCAGGTACTCGGGCCTTCATACCGCCACGTAGATTGAGGTATACGCCCCGGCTATCTTTGAGCCTCCGCCCCTTTCTTCCGCAGATGTAATGATGGCGAAAGAGGTCGAAATGGGGCTGAAGCCACCATAAGCTTCAAAAAGATGGATGAAGGTGGAGACAAGAAGAATCGAGTTGGGATGCGATTGCAAATCCCAATCTCGTAATATAAGCAGAGCCCCTCAAGGAAAGGGTGCACTGAACCCCAAAACCCCGCTTGAAGAAATCCTCGAAAACCATAATCTCACCCGGTTGTGGATCGGGAAGCTTTCTTTCCTTCAAGCGCACGCCATCCCATGAAAGTGCCTTGTTGTGGAGCACTCCCATGGCAACGAGGTCTTCGATGGTCTCGCTTCATTGCTCCTTGACTTCCACCACTCCTTCGCCATGACTCCGCCTTTCTTCTCGGGCGCTTTCTTCGCCATTGATCTGCCTTGTTAAGAGGGTGGATGCGTGGAGAAGGGATTGGTGGTGATTTTGAGGAGTAGGGTTCAAGAGAGAGAAGAAGAAGGTTGCGGCGGTGAATGACAATGGGGATCGATAAAAAGTAACTTACCAAATTTATATTATAAATAACCAAGGGCTCCGCTGCTTTTGCCCGGCCGAGATTCTTGGGGGCGCGCGACGCGTCGCAGCAGACGGTTGTTTTCACAACCTCGAGATCTCACGCCAAGCGCTACTTCTTCGCTTCCCAAAGGTATGTGCCTCTTCGTTGATAATGTGAGAGGGCCCACACTGACGCACCTCCATACAGGCGCCAAGTGACTGTTTGTCAGAAAGAGTAAGAAGGCAGAGTGATATGTTATATCCGTCTACTTTTTTGACCAGACGTGGCAGATTAGACTTGACAGAGTAAGGAGATAAATAAATACACCAAATAATAATACAATCGGTGTTCTTTTCTTTTGGCTGCATATCTTGAGCTCAATGATGGATCAGACCATTGCCGTGTTTTGGGATCGCCCGATCATCGCTGCCGTGCTCGGGATCGCCTGCACCACCGCTGCGTTTCGGGGGATCGCCTTTACCACCGCCGTGCTCGGGATCGCCTGCACCATCGCCGCGTGCTTCGGGAACCGCTGCACCACCGCCACGCTTGGGGACCGCTCCGCCATCGATGTGCTTTGGGGACCGCCCCACCACCGCTTTCGAGATCGTTTTTCTCGGCTACATGTGATTTGTACTCACATACGCTTGAGAGATGTTTATTTAGACCTTGCTACAAGGCTCATACCTCGCCTTCCAAAGAAGTTTGGGACTACATCGGTATGATGCACTGCGCCGGTGCATCTCGATCGCATGTACGATTTATTGAATTCTTAACTTAACTAGGAATTCTTTTTAGGCCCTAGCACCACGTGCCTCACGCCACCTACTACCGTGCTCGGGACTAAGTGGGCACACTTCACCTTACGGTGAATGTGTTTGTTTTTCACCCCTACGCCTCGATGATCAAGGACGCTTTCGCTTCAAGACGCACTTATATTTCTTTTTTTCGTAAATACAAGTGGGCACACTTTCCAGACAAAAATCTTTTTCTTTTTTTTAAGAGCACCATATATTCTTCTGACAACCGACTTCTTCGGCGACAACGGTGGTCGAGACGCCAAGGGCTCAAGCCTTACTTGTCGGAGAAGGTTAAAATGACGGTCGCATCATAATACATGGTGCTCGGGGACTAGCCGTGGGGGTATTAACCCCTATACCCTTATGGCTAAGCTTGGGCCGGCCCGGATCGATGGGTTCGGGTCCACCAAAAGACGACGTCGGCCCCGGCTAACTCCGATCGGAGTCCCGCAAGGAGTCAAGGCGGATTTAGCGATCAATCAAGATCCCGGTCGGTTAGAATAGGAATCCTTATCCGCCACATATGGCAATTGTAATCGCTAGGATTAGTTTCAGATCTCGTAACCCCGCCTCGAACTATATATAAGGCGGGGGACCCTCTATAAAATCATCTCTTATTGACATACAGCAATACAAATCAGACGCAGGACGTAGGTATTACGCCTTCTTGGCGGCCGAACCTGGATAAAACCTTGTGTCTGTCTTGCGTCACCGTCTTGTTTGTAGCTTGCGCATCTGTCTGCCGACAATCTACTACCTTGGGTATACCCCTAGGTAGACTGTCGACCATATTTCGTCGACATGTAGATCAATAACTTTAGGAGAATCCACGCATTCTGAGTCGGCCTGGGCATTTTTTAACCGCAAACCGCAAACCGAACCGAACCGAAGTGTCGGTTTTTTCGGTTTTCGGTTTGTGGTTTGGTTTCTAGTTTTGCACTGTTCGGTGTTCGGCTTCGGCTTCGGTTTTATACTCAAACCGAACCGATTAAGCGAACAAACCGATGTACACACGTAACACACACATCTGTGAGACGTGAGCGTGGTTCACGGACCCAAAAAATCATTCAATCGCGCTAAGTCCGCCCCCTCAGTTTGCGTCCGCCTCTCCTCGCTTCGCACTTCGCATCCGTGATCCACCCCCTCCTCGCGTCCGCACTTGGCGTCGCATCCACGTCGGCAGCTCCACCTTCTCCTCCACCAACTCCGCCTCCTCGATCCTCTTCCTCCAACACCATGGCGCCCTCTCCGTTGGCTGCTCGCGCTTCTCTCTCCTCGTCGCTTTGCGTCCCCCCCCGCCTCCTCTCTCTCCAGCTCTCCCTCCGACTCCTTCACATCCGCCGTCCACCCGCCTCCTCTCCTTTCTTTGCGGGTGGTGTAGGCAGTCCGCCACCCTCCTATCTTCCTTTGACGGCACTGCATCGCCTTCTCTCCTCCTCCTCACTCATCGCCTCCTCCTCATCAAGGCGAGGCCACCCCCATCTCCTCTCCTTTCCTCTCTAGATCTAGATCTAGAAGGGAAATATGACGACTGCCATTCTTGGGTTCGAGGTGGTTCGAGGAAGGTCATGCCGTCGTGCGTCGGCGGGATCCCAACGCGGGTGACGGCGGCGGGATCCTAGCGCGGGTGACAGTGGCGGGATCCTAGCGCGGGCGACGGCGGCGGCGGGATCCCAGCGTGAGCAACGGCGGCGGCGGTTCTCAAGGCGCCGACAGACGGCAGCCGCGCGATGGGATCCTAGCGCCGGCGAGAATGTCTCGATTAATTCGTTAAAACCGAAACCGAATTAAAAAACCGAAATTGAATTTCGCGGTTTTCGCTTCGCAGAACCGAACGGGTGATGGAGGCTGGAAACCGAAGTTTTTTATAACCGAATAAACCGAACCGAATTAACGGTTAAAACCGAACGCCCAGGCTGAATTCTGAGCACAACCCGCAGCCATAGTTGTTCGGTTGCTCGCCATGTGACCTTTGCTGTCACGCTGGCGCTGTGGCGCACATTGGCAGGTTGCGTTCTTCTTGCGCCAAGGCATCGTCGTTACGTCTCAAATTTTTTGCACACGCCTCCTTGCTCACGCTGCGAAGCGCGTGCACTATGCAAGTCTTACCATGTTAGGATTATGTGTCAGCCGTGAGAAGAAGGGTGATAATATTGTTCTTTTTTACTTTAGAGCTCAAGATCAAAAAAATCTCAGACGGGTAAAATGTGCTGCAAACCCAATCCGCTATATGTTGTATGTTGTGTTGGGCCTTCTCAGGTAGCGTTTGGCTGAGAGTCAAGGTGGAGTGAAGTGGTCCTGTCTCTGATTTGTAAGATGGGACGACTTCATTTTCTGTTTGGTTGAGTAAAGATGAGATCAACTTGTTTTATGTTTGGTTGGAGGGATGGAGGGGAATGGGATGGATGAGTTAGGCCCCGTTTGGCAGGGCTTCACTTCACTAGTGAAGCTATTGTTTTTTGCTTCAGCTCCACGAACAGTTCCACCGGTGGAGCTGAAGCGGTTTTGGTAAACCGTTTGGCAAAATGGCTTCCCTGTGAGAGCATGTTTTTAGAGGCCTGGAGGAGGAGTCGGGAGAAGCCACTTTTTTTTAGGCTCCATCCCACCCTAAATCATTGTGAGAGCATGTTTTTAGAGGCTTCACCAGTGAAGCTATTTTACTTTATCCCGTTTAACAGAAAACTGCTTCAAACAGCTCCTAAAGCTGATGGAGAAGTCGTACCAAACAGGACCTTACTTGACACCGTTAATGGGTGTTATTGTGGACCACCATCTGATATATATGGACTCCACTGGTCATTCTAACTTTCTCTTGTTTTCTTTTTTTTCTCCCGTCGGATCTTATCTGCTCCATTTATTCTTTGTTCGTTTTTTTTTCATCTGAGACTCCTCTCGTCCTCTCTGGTGTGCGTTCGCGAGAGAAGCGCCGCGAGGGAAGGATGCGCCGTGCCGCCACGACCTCCGGCTCCCGCAAGGGGAGGAATTGCCGTGCCGCCACCGCGTCCCCACGCCCCGCGGTCCGAAGTCATCGCTGCGCCAAAGGTCCACGCACCGTAGCTCACCACCGCGAGCTCAGTGCGCGAGCCGCCGCCGGCGTCCGTCGAGATCTCGGCGTAGGAGGAGCCGTCGCCGCGGGCTCGGCACGGGAGGAGACGCTGCCACTGCGAGGTCGATGGGGAAGGTGCCGCCGTCGCTCTGCCATCCCGCACCGAAGCTCCAGCGTCCTCTCCACTCACGCGCGTTAAATCGGACGAAGACGGCGTGAATCGGGACGACCCCCGTCCCCTCGATTTCAACGGACGGGCGTGACCTCGAATCTGGCGAATATTCCCTATCGGGGACGGACCCGACCCAGCTCGTCTCGCATCAAACACCTCTCCAATTGGGATCGTCCCATCCCATATTCCCATCCCCTCAACAAACACACGGTTAGGCTTCTCAGGCCTTACATACTTGGGCATGGGCCGGCCACTATGGTCTATAAGTGGGCCATGAATTTGAAACTATGGTTGTGTGGGCTGCAGTGCAGTGGCTGTCTACTCCTGCTCGCCTCTGGACTTAGAGCGTTCCCAACGGGGTTTCAAATAGCTAGTGAGAAATATTTTTCATACTATCTATAGGAGAGAGATTATAAGAAATCAACTCGCTAGCATCGAGCAAAACGCTAGACTCGCACAGCTCCTTGTACAACCTGTGTCTACCTCTCCTCTTCGCTTGTTTTGTCTCTCGATGCTTCTCTTTTTTTATTTGATCTATGTGCATGTCGTTGGCGATTCGATGGAGGCCACTGCAAACGCTCTTAGAGCAAGTACAATAATTGATTTATAGTTAAATAAATATTGATGCGGAGGATGGGAGAGAAGAGAGAAACAAGCAACAAGCCAGAAACAGAAGCACATGCGGTTCTATGACCATACATTAAGCGGATGTTAGGAGGATGGGATAAAAAAAAGTGGATATGGTAAAAAAACAAATAAAAAAGTTTAGTATTATAAACCTAAGAATGTATATATATCCTGTTTGTATGGCTGATAAGTCAGGGCTGAAAGTATTGTTGGCTGATTTGTTGTGAGAGAAAATACTATTCATTGGCTGAAAAAGTACGGCTTATAAGGGCCTGTTTAGATGGCGAAAATTTTTGCAAAATGTCATTGTAGCACTTTTCGTTGTTATTTAGCAATTAGTGTCCAATCATAGTCTAATTAGGCTTAAAAGATTCGTATCGTGAATTTCGTCTAAACTGTGTAATTAGTTTTATTTTTTATTTATATTTAATGCTTCATGCATGCGTCCAAAAATTAGATGTGACGAAGAATCTTAAAAAATTTTGCAAAATTTCCTAGAACTGAACTGGACCTAAGTAAGCGAACCGGACGATAACACTTGAAAAGCTGCCGCTGCCGGGCAGGCATCATGCTTGCCGCTCCCCGCGTGCTTCACGTTTGCTCCTTGGTTTTCATTTTCATTTTCAGAAGGGAGGAGCCACTTGAACACCGAACACACCACCGCCTTTGATGCCATCTGTCAGAACTCAGAAGGACTGACTGCAGCCGTGCAGCGTATTGCTTCCACCTTTAAAAAAAAACTGGGATCTTCGGTCGAATTTCGTGTTGTGTGATGTTGATACGTGTTTCTCTAAAACTACTAGAAGTCAAACTTAATATTAACAATTCTTTGAAAAACAAGAGTTTGTCATGAAACTACCCTAGATCAAACCAGTTTTTATCATCGTGGCCACAATCTTCGTCTATTTTTTTACAGAGCTTGACATGAAATTCCTTCCCGGAGAAGCTCGTCATTGTGCTCTCGATCTTTGCGAAAGCGTGCACCAACACAGTGGCAGGAGGCAGCCTTTGGATGTCGGCAACTGCAAAGCTGCCACTGGACTTGGACTCCTCCATTTGTGGATCGGATGCGTTTGGGACGACGAATCCCGTTTTGAAACCGAGATCCAATGGGACTGTTCATTTGAATTTATCAGCCAATTTATTAGCTAAAATTTATAATATTTTTTCTCCAGTAATAAAACAGCTTTGTGCAATCATTTTTTTTTGTTTGGAAGAGAACATTTGATCAACCGTCTTTATACCAGCGACACACGCCCGAGCTACACTCATGTGCAATCATTTTTTTTTGTTTGGAAGAGAACATGAACATTGATGGGGCTGGCGTGTTGTTTGCCAAAGCCTAGGTTCTCGGACGGGGCCATGCGGTCGGATTTATGAGTGAGCGCGTGTTGAGTTCGAACCCAAATTTTCAAAAAGTACTATAATATCTATCCTATTAAATTTTATGATATGTATATGGAGCATTAAATGTAGACGAAAGAAAAATTAATTGCACAGTTTGGTTGAAAATTATGAAACAAACGTTTTGAGCCTAATTAGTCCATGATTGAACACTAATTACTAAATAAAAACAAAAGTAATACAGTAATCTAAATTACCAAATTCACCCAACTAAACACGCGCTGAGGAGTGGACGGACGGGAGACCTGTCTGCGACGCCGGGCCGGCCATGAATTCCGGTGACGTACACACTGTCCACCCTTTTGCAAGACATGGATGTAACCCTCATTCATGGGAATGGCCGCCCGTGTTTTCGCAGGCCACGACTGTAGCTGATCCTGGCTCTCTCTCTCTCCCTAGCTTCAGGAGAATGAGCTGAAAATATTCAAACCCCACGCCACGCAACGCACGTCTCTTCCCACGCAAGGAAACCTGACAACGCTGGCCCCACCCGCAGCACCCACGGGCCCACCGCAAGGACCAAAAATGATTTGTCCATGTTCGGCCGGAGTACCGTACAGAAAAAAAGAGCGAGGAAATCGAAAAGGAAACAAAAGCCGGGAAAAGTCGCGCCCACCCGAGCCCTCCGTCCTCCTTCCGCCCCGCCACATCCACATCGGCCTGGCCCGGGCCCACGCGCGGCTCTACTAGCTAAGCCCTTGTTTAGTTTCTCTTAAACTTTCAACTTTGACACTATAAAAAAAAAAGATTCTCTGTTACATCAAATTTACAGTACATGCATGGAATACTAAAAGTAGACGAAATTAAAAACTAATTGCACAATTTGGTTGTACTTTGCGAGACGAATATTTTGAGCCTAATTAGTCAACGGTTAGACAATTATTATCAAATACAAACGAAATGCTACAGTAAAAAAATCTAGCACTATGCAAACTTTGCACATCCAAATTTCGGCCAACTAAACACGCCCTAACACTGTCTCCAATAAGTAGACCTAAATGCGACATCCATTTCCGATTTTGGGTTATACACAGAAAAAAATAACGCACCCATAACTCAGCCCTCTCCAGCAGCGACGCAAATGCAGAGCCCATCCCAAAGCGGAGGACGACCGCACGGCGAGGACGCAGCCGAGCTACCTACCTCGCCCGCCGTGGCCTCGACGTTCACCCGCGCCACGGCCTCCCACACGGGCACCTCCACCACCCCCCACGTCCCGTACCGCCCGGCTAGGTCCCTGCCCGGGCGTAGGAACGCGCGGTGGAGCCAGAGGAGGAAGGTGGCGGCGTACCGCACGACGAGCTCGATTTAGGGACGGGGAAGCTCAATTCAGAGGTGAGGAAAGTCGATTCGGGCGCCGGGAGGCTCGATTTGGGCTCCTGCGAGCTGGAGAAGAAGGCCGGTGGAGGTCGTGCTGGCCAGTGTGCTCATGCTCGTGCTCGCCGGCGTGCGCGTGAAGGCTGGTGTGCTTGTGCTTGCCCGCCGTTGCTCGTCTGCTGCTGGTGCTAGCCAGCGGAGGTTGCGTGCTCGTGAAGGCTAGCGTGCTCCTGCGTGCTCGTGCTTGCCGACGGAGGCTCCTGGTGCTTGCCGACGGAGGCTCCTGCGTGCTTGCGGTGGAGGTCGCGGTGGGGGCTCTCATAACACTTGCAAAGCTGCCGCTGCCGGGCAGGCATCATGCTTGCCGCTCCCCGCGTGCTTCACGTTTGCTCCTTGGTTTTCATTTTCATTTTCAGAAGGGACGAGCCACGTGAACACCGAACTTTTTTACAGAGCTTGACATGAAATTCCTTCCCGGAGAAGCTCGTCATTGTGCTCTCGATCTTTGCGAAAGCGTGCACCAACACAGTGGCTGGAGGCAGCCTTTGGATGTCGGCAACTGCAAAGCTGCCACCGGAGGGTCCGTTAGTCTCATATTAAAGTCGGCTGATAAGTTAATTTCTTACGAGAGAAAAATATTGTAGATTTTAGCTAATAAATTTAAACGAACAGACTTTATCAGCCGACTTATTAGCTAAAATTTATAATATTTTTCTTTCATAATAAAATAACTTCGGCCAACTTATCAGACACTTTGATAACGGCCAAACACGGCCGAGCTATACTCATGTGCAATCATTTTTTTTGTTTGGAAGAGAACACGAACATTGATGGGGCTGGCGTGTTGTTTTCCAAAGCCTAGCTTCTCGGACGGGGCCATGCGGTCCGATTTATGAGCGAGGAGAGGACGGACGGGAGACCTGTCTGCGACGCCGGGCCGGCCATGAATTCCGGTGACGTACGCACTGTCCATCATTTTGCATGTAACCCTCATTCATGGCCGCCCGTGTTTTCGCAAGCCACGACTGTAGCTGTTCCTGGCTCTCTCTCTCTCTCCCTAGCTGAAAATATTCAAACCCCACGCCACGCACGTCTCTTCCCACGCAAGGAAACCTGACAACGCTGGCCCCACCCGCAGCACCCACGGGCCCACCGCAAGGACCAAAAATGATTTGTCCATGTCCGGCAGCAGTACTGTACATGAAAAAAACGAAGGACTTGTTTAGATTTCAGTTTTTTCATTCTCTCTATCACATCAAATTTTAGACGCATGCATAAAGTATTAAATGTATTAAATATAGATAAAAAAATAACTAATTACACAGTTTAATTGTAAATTACGAGACAAATCTTTTAAGTCTAGTTAGACCATAATTAGACAATAATTATCAAATACAAACAAAAATGCTAAAATGCACCTAAAACTATCTAAATAAGGCTGAAAAGGAAACAAAAGCCGTGAAAAGTCGCGCCCGGCCCAGTGGACCACGCGCACCCACATCCACATCGGCCTGGCCCGGGCCCACGCGCGGCTCTACTAGCTAATAAACCCCTCGGCCAGTCACGGCCGCTTGCCAGGGTCCGTCCCTCCCTCCCTACCATCTCATCCCACCAAAGCTCTCCATGACAGCCATGCCCCACCGCCTCGTCCCCTTCCTCCTCCTCCTCGCCGCGGCCGCCGCCACCGGAGCCGGCGCGGCCACCCCGCGGCAGCTGTTCCTCGTGAGCCAGCCGCCCGTGACGCTCACCAACCACCACGGGCAGCTGCTGACGGGCAACTACTCCGTCAACCTGCTCTGGTACGGGCGCTTCACGCCGGCGCAGCGCGCCGTGCTGGCAGACTTCATCCTGTCCCTTTCGGGGCCGGCCTCCGCCTCGGTGCCACCGTCCGTGGCGTCGTGGTGGGCCACGACGGCGCGGTACCACCCTGGCGCGGCGCGGCTGTCGCTGGGGCGGCAGGTGCTGGACACGTCGCTGTCCCTAGGCCGCCGCCTCTCGGAGTCGTCGCTGGCGTCCCTGGCGGCGCGCCTGGGTCCGCACCGCGGCACCGTGGCCGTGCTGGTGACCGCGCCGGACGTGCTGGTGGACGGGTTCTGCCTCTCCCGCTGCGGCCTCCACGCGTCGGCCACAACCACCACCTCAGCCTCCACCCCGAACGCCACCACCCACGGGCGCGGGCATGGCCGCGGGCGGTTCGCGTACGCGTGGGTGGGCAACCCGGCGGAGCAGTGTCCGGGGGAGTGCGCGTGGCCGTTCCACCGGCCGCTGTACGGCCCGCAGCAGGCGGCGCCGCTGGTGTCCCCGAACGCGGACGTGGGGATGGACGGCGCGGTGATCACGCTGGCGACGCTGCTGGCGGGCGCTGTGACCAACCCGTACGGCGGCGGGTTCTTCCAGGGCCCCGTGGAGGCGCCGCTGGAGGCCGTGTCGGCGTGCGCGGGCGTGTTCGGCGCCGGCGCGTACCCGGGGTACCCGGGCCAGGTGCGCGTGGACGCCGCCACGGGCGCTAGCTACAACGCCGTCGGAGTCGCAGGGCGACGCTTCCTGCTGCCGGCCATGTGGGACCCTGAGACAGCGCAGTGCTCCACGCCGCTCGTGTAGCCGTGGGAGTGGAGACAGGTGCTAGAAGAAAACGTTTCTGAGTTCTGATGGTAGGCTTGAGTGGAGGCTCACTCGAGTGTCGAGTCGGTGTTGCGTGGTGTCCGGGCGTCTGCGGACTCCGGTTTCTCCTGCTCCCGTTGTGAATAGACCCCATTTCGTTTCGTTCGTGGCTGAACCTTGAAAAACCAAAAAAAAAATGTTGGAAATAAAATCACCTGCACACGGCATCATCATCAGTAATCCTATCCTAAATAAAAATACTGACGGTATAATTGCTATGGCCATATTCCGTTACGAGCAATGTTAACATTTCTCTTACAACCAATCAGCGATCAGTATTTTTAAGGTTTTTTTTAATGGGGCAGGCGGCGTTGTGGGTTTTTTTTAATGGGGACAGAGGTGGGAGGGTTTTCTTAACTTGCCTGATTTTAATGGGGACAGATGTTTTTCTTAACTTGCCTGAGAAAGATGCCTGAGAAAGATGTTTTTCTTAACTTGCCTGAGAAAATCTTTTTATGAAGAAGAATACCCTCCCTCGAGGATCGATTTTTTTGGTTTTCTTGACCTGCCTGAGACAATCTTTTTATGAAGAAGAATACCCTTGGCTGTCTTAGGTCCTGTTTAGTTTTCAAAAAAATTTATTTTCTACAGTAAAAGAGTATGTTTGACATATACATGGAGTATTAAATATAGACAAAAAAAAACTAATTGCACAGTTCTCGGCAAAATCACGAGACGAATCTTTTAAGCCTAATTAGTCTATGAAAAGCCGTAAGTGCTACAGTAACCCACATGTGCTAATGCCCGATTAATTAGTATCATTAGATTCGTCTCGCAGTTTTCTAATAGGTTCTATAATTTGTTTTTTTATTAATATAAAAAAATCCTTTCAATATCTTTCTGACATATCCGATCACCCCGGGCACTGATTGATCACAGCGAATGATTCCCGGAGGACATAGGGCTAAACGAACGAGGCCTAATAAAACAATATTTTCCCACCCACGTGCAGTAGCAGCGATAAAGCTCCGCCGTGTGCACGGGCACGGCGCATCTAGTATCACTTTCACTGTGCGGGCAAGGGCAGCTCAGGCGGGCAGAGGCGCAGACAGACGTGCCTGCCCGTCGCTGCAGCCTGCTGACCCCGACCCCGAGCCGAGGTGGCCGTGCCGTACACGTGGCTGCACGGACGGACTTTGCTTGGCTTTGGCTGCGCCCGGCCCCCATCCGACGAGACCTGCCACTGCCCTGCCATCGGCGCGTGAAGGCGCAGTGGCCGCTTTGCGCAGCAGAGCTTCCCTCTCCGTGGGTGCGCACTGCGCAGTGCCTGCCTGTGCAGCAGCAATGCCTTGGCACCCTGTTCACGCTTGGCCGCTTGCCTCGCGAGCTTTTTGCTCCCTCGCTCAACGGTAAACAGTCAGTCACGTGTGGTTTAGCTTATTATTCGAACAAAACAGGGGTTTAAACAGGTGAAACGGCCGATTGAATGAAAACTATGTACCATCGTGTAGCGTTTAAACAGTGTGGAAACGAGTGTTTAGGCGAACAGTAGCTGGGGGCATGGGCATGGCCTGCCTGGCCTCTCTACCTCACTGCCTGCCTATTATGGCCTGTGGCAGCAGCCCTACCACTCTCGGGCCTCGTCCCCGCCAAGCTTGCACATGACGGATGCAGACGAGTACTAGTACGGTAGGGTGCTGCTCTTCGCAGCCTCTCAAGTCTGAACTGCATTAACAAAAGTTACGGGGTTTGATTAGGAATCAAATAGAGCTACAGTTGCATCCTGATTCGGACAGAGGTGGTACTGTAGCACTCTCGACGATAGAGCAAGTTTAAGGGTAGTTGCATGTATCAAATGCATTGTACCTCTTGAGTTGACACGATTCGATTCTTGAGCGGGGCATCATTAACAAATGACAGTGGTCTGTGTGCACTCGAGTCATGAGGGAGTACCGTACGCACAGACACATCTCAGCATGTGTTAAATGCCAGTTAATGCAACAGTGGACGAACACCAGTGACGTCGCCACTCGCAGCCAGTGGCAAATACTACTACGTACTCCTCCTGGTCATGATGAACCACCCCCGGGCGGTAGTCCAGAGAAGAAGCAGAGGCACGGAAACGCTGCACGCACGCATCAATGTCATCGTCCATCCACAGATCGAGATCGAGTGAGCCAGTGAACACGAACGGCCGGGGTGCCTGCTCATGCTTTGCGTCCCCTCCGGCCGGCCATGAATTTCCTTCAGCAGCCGCTGTCAAAAGACAAAAAAAAAAGGCAGCAGGACAAGAGCATGGGCATGGGGAGGGCTATGTCAGCACCATCCTCCCAGGCCCATCTACTACTGATCCATCCAGAAGAAGCTGCCCGTCGGCCCAAGCGCCAGGCGAAGCCCAACAAGCTATACTCTGGCGCCGAGTGGGAGTATATAGTAGATAAATGTAGTAGGAACCGACGGGCAATGTAACGAAGAACAGAACTCCTAGACTGTTGAATCAAATCCTTCGTCGCTGCTCTTTTCGTTCTTCCCAAACCCCATCTTCTTCTTCTTCCCCACGACAGCCCCTTTCCCCTTCGATTCTGCTATAACATACTACTAGCAGCATATAATCCGAGATCCAGGCTCCTGCAGCTGCCAAGTTCAGTACTCCAATTCATCAATTCCACCCTCCAGTGTCCACTCCACCGTAGGGCATCCTAAGCTTGTCGCTGCTGCTCAAGTACACACACAGTATATATATAAACCGGACCTACTGCTTGTCCATCTACATTACTCTTCTAGTAAAATTCTACATGCATAGAAGAGGACGGTGAGCTGGTGAAACACCTCAAATCTGAAAGGCTTGGACAAATGTTTGTAACGAAATAAACCAGAGCTAAGCTCTGGCTACTTCTAGCTTCTCCATGTAAGTAATAAAACCTTTTTATTTTCTCTCTTTTTATCGAAATAAGCCAGAGCTAAGTGAAGCAATTATTTTCGCTTCATCAGCTCCCAAACAGACCTAGAGAGGCATCCAAATCCCATGATGAAACAGACTCAAAGTCTGTGGCTGGCTGGCCACCTTTAAAGTGTGCCAAAAACTGGCAATGGCATTGTCATCACTCTTTGCCGATTTTCCTTCCTGTTGACCAGCACTATTCAGGCTTTGTTCGAGCACGAGCTCGGTAGAGCCTAGAGATGTCATGTGAAATTGTAGAGTGGGTGAGGGTCCACGCGCTTTGGCGATACCACGGTCGTGGGTAGTCTTTGTTACACCGTTAGTCAAATGGCAATAACCCCAATCATTTGCTCCAGTGCAGGACGAGGCCTAACTGTTTCCTCACTATAGTTGGCCAACGGGCCGGCCTGACCCGGCCCGGGCCCGGGCCAAGCATGGCTCGCCGGTGGTCATGCCGGCACGGCACGCTGTGCCTCCCGTGCAGTGCCCCTCCGGGCGTCGTGCCAGGCCTTCGGCCCAAGCACGGCCCTACGGGCTGAAATTCGTGCCGTGCTGGCCCGGGAAGCACGACCAGAACTACGGGCCCGGTCGGCCCAAAGCCCGGTGATCATAAGTCACCTTAAAATTCTTCTCATCCAATAATTAGCACAGATTCATTCATTCAAATTTCAAAATCTCAACTCACAAATCAAGAACTTCTAAGTCACAAACTGTAAAACTGATCACATATTCACAAACTGTCAAACTGATCACAAATTCTTCTCAGATTCTAACTTCTAAGTCAAGAACTAAGCAAACTCCAAAATTTTTCTCATTCTCATCCAACAGACCAACACAGCCACAAACTGATCACACACAGATTCTAACTTCTAAGTCAAGAACTTAGCAAACTCCAAATGACCAAATCCAAGCCAACAAAACAAAAGGCACCAAAGGAGATAAGATAAATAAGCTGTTTGTGCAATACTGTCTCATTAAAAATCTTTCTAGGTAAAACTCACCCTTGTGAGAAACCCTAGAAAGGGAAAAAGAGTACAGCACAGCTCTTAATAATTCTTCCATCATTGTTCAAATGTCTCAAGTCACACTTGTCAGTCACAGATGACAGATACAAAATGGAGATAACAGATTAACTATCAGCAGCCCTAGTCCTAGATGTACCAGCCCCAGATGAACCAGCCCCAGCCCCAGCCCCAGATGAACCAGCACCAGCAGTACCAGCAGCACCATCTGCATCATCATCATCATCGAGGTACATATTCTTGAAGGAGTCCTCCAGTTCTTGGTTGTCAACAGTCTGTTGTAGTCTGCTCTCTTCCAACTCCCAATCCTTTATACAGGCCAACATCTCCACCGTTTCAGGCAACAGGCGGCGTCGCTGCTCTTCGATTATTCTCCTTGTCAAGCTAAAACATGATTCCGAAGAGACAGTAGAAACAGGAACAGACATAATATCTCTAGCCATTATATATAGGATTAGATAGGTTAGTTTGTGATCACGCCACCAGAGAAGTAAATCAAAATCATCCTCATATGCAGTGACATTGTCACTGTCTAGATAAACTGAGAGCCCATTAGCAGTAGAAGCAAATAAAGTGGGGGCACAGGCAGGGGAAGGACCAACAACAGATCTAGGGCCTCCAAAGATTCTTCCCCATGCCTGTTTTCTCTTACCTGTATGGTTTGCAGGCTATGCAACCCTTTAACTCCTAGCTGCACCAAACTTTCTCTCATATTTGTTAAATAACTTGTAAATTTCAGTTTTCACATCAGCACAATATAAAGTATAATCACAAGCAGTTCTCTCTTTAAGTAATTCCATGACTCTAAATAAACCTCTCATCTTAGCTCTAGGATCAAGAATGAATGCAAATGAATATAACAGAGGTATATGCTGCCAGTATTTAAGGAATTTAATCTTCATAGGATATACAACAGCAATTAGATCTAAATAAACCTTCACCACCGTCCCCGTCCAGACCGAACAAGGCAGCAGCGTCCTCTTGGGTGCCGTTGCCGTCCTCAGGTGCCAGGCCTGCCGCGATGAGATCGTCGTTGCCAGTGACCGGCCAGACGATCTCGTCATCAACACCAGCCGTGGCGCCCTCGATCGCGGAGGGCTCTCCAGCACCGTTCCTCAACGGTGTGTGGGGCCACCTTGGTCGCTCTATGCTACAGCTAGAGGACGACGCATCGGCTACCGACCTGTGTAAAGACATGGAGGAGGAGGAAAACAGTACATCAGAATAGATCATAAACCATTCATCAATGGAAGAAGAGGGGGGGTTAGGGTTAGGGTTAGGGTTAGGGATGTACTGCAAGAACCGGAGCCCGTGCATGAGAAGACGAGGGCCACCTGCAGAAGATGACAAGAAGGTTAGAAGGACGGCGAGCGGCGGAGGAGGGGCACACGGGGACACGAACTCACATAATCACCTAGATCTAGAGGGAAGATAGGGATAGGGAGAAGGGAGAGGCAGAGAGGGAGCAGGGAGGGGATCAGGTAGGACTTAGGAGTAGTAGGGAGTTGCTCGCCGGCGGCAGGCGGGGTTAGGGTTAGGGTTAGGGATGTACCTGCGCAGCCGGAGCCCGGTGCCGGAGAAGACGAGGGACACCCAGAGAAGACGACACACCAGTTAGAAGGACGGTGAGCGGCGGAGGAGGGGCGGACGGGGACACGAACTCATAGTCACCGAGATCTAGAGGGGAGATAGGGATAGGAGAGGCGGAGAGGGAGCAGGGCGGGGATCAGGTAGGAGGAGTAGGGAGCTGCTCGCCGACGGCAGGCGGATCGTCGAGGTCACCTCATCGGAGTCGGGGAGGACGAAGCCGAGAGCGAGACTGCGAGGGCGAGACCCGAGAGCGAGGCGAGGCGAGAGCCGCGAGACGAGAGCGAGGTGAGGCGAGCGAGTGAAATGAGCTAGGGTTTTCGGGTGTGAGCCGCCGCGGGCGCGGCGTGCGTTTATATGAGGGGGGGAGGCGGGGACGGATGGACGCTTGGCCATGGGGAGGCCGGGAGGGGAGGAGTGGAGTGAGGAGGGGGAGGGGTGGCCGGGCCGTGCCGTGCCAGCCTTAGTTCTGAGCAGAACGCCTGTGCACGGCCTGCTACCTCGGGCCGGGCTAGCCCAGGCCCGCATGTCACCGGGCCGTGCTGTACTCGTGTCGGGCTTCGTGCCGTGCCGTCGTGCCTCGGACTGCATGGACATTTATATTCCTCACCCACCGAAATGAAATGATCATCAGAACATGCAACTGCAATACTACTAGTATCAAACGAGACCTTGCAATGAACGTCGAAGTGGGTACACTGGTACAGGCGTACAAGCCTAGAGAAGCAAAGGGACAGCACTATAAATCATTGCACATCATTACACATGTACACAGGAACACTGAACGAAATTAGACCTCCATTGGCGGTGTCCGTATCAATCAACATTTGTATGTCATCAATGAATGACTCGGATGTAGTATGTGGTTAGTACAAAGCCGTGGAGAAGCTATCGGTGACCAAATGTCACAGAGTCTTGTGAATATACACCAGCTTGCCCTGTACAATCCTCCTGGACTGTATTTGCCTAGAATGTGGTTAGTACAAAGCCCTGTACAACCAGCTGTGACGCTTTTAAGTCTTTAACCATTCATTCATGCTCCTCAATCTCGGATGGAAAACAAACCGCTGGTCCATCCTGGACGCGTCTTGTTTCCATTTCACAAGATAAAATCAGGACTTGTTATTTCCTCCTGTAACCGCTTCAGATTCTGTTTCTACTTGTTTGTTCTCCAGCTCTGGAGCTGGACTTGCGCTGGAAGATCTAGCACTGTCCCTGCCTAACAAGTCTTGTTCGCCATCCAGTATCCTGCTTGCTTCCCCAATCGCAAGGATTAGGTCAAGTTGCTTTTGCTGTTGTTCCTGCAGGATAGATTATTTATCAGACAGCAAGCATTACCTTACAGTATTAGTAAGGAAAAAGAACTGAATTATCTCCAAGTCTTCAGCATACAACGGAAATCACTGATTGCATATGATCACTGTTCAGGGTGAATAGTTTGAGCAGGAAAGGTAAGATATACCATGCCTTGGAAGGGGGGGAAATATATATCCCAATGATGCAATTAGATTTGGCATAGGGTTTGATTTCCTGCCACAGTTGTGGTTGTGGCTTGCCACACTTTTTCAGCTATGCCCCGTCGTAGAGTCATCTCTTTGCCAAAAATTGTTGCCTAAGGTGTGGTTAGCAAATTGTTAAGCCACACCTTAGGCAAATTTTTCTAAGTGTGACAATGTGTGGATATTATCCAAACACGCCAAAACCATCTTGTTTGTTATTTGTTGCCAACCTTAAAGGAACTAATTTATGTGCCCAATTGGTGTGCATGCACCTATTGTGTGGCAAACTCTGGCCAACATCCAATTGATTTCTAAAATGCTGGTAGTATCTTGCTGTAGTATTATCATGAACTGGGTTCTATAATATACATGTGAGCATAGGTAATAGGAGGGGAAGAAAAATCGTTAAAACCTGCTCTAATATCTATCTCAACATATCGAATACATGTGTTTATGCTAACCATATGAATGTACTGAAGTACAATGATAAAAATGAAAGTATGATAGCATAAGAATTCCTCAAATATTTGTCCACAACATGGAACATACTGCCAGTCAGCCATAACCGGCTAACGAACAATACAAAGCAGAACCACAATAATATATCTCAGCAAAGTTTTCTAATAATATAGATTACTCAAGAAATTGAGGTTTTGAGAAATGTCAAAGCAAACAGCCAAGATACATCACCTGCATTGCATAAAGAATTTTTTGAATTGCACCGATTTCTTTTTCAAGGAGGTCTTCTTGTGCAGAAAGAATACGAGTGGCTTCAGAGTTCTTCTGCGCTAAAGCCGCTGTCTGCGGAAGAAAGCGATAATAGGTGAAGCTAAATGGAGGCAATTATAGCAGTGCAAGCATGCTATGGTTTATTCAGGAACAATCACAAATCATCCCAGAAAGATTTGTGTGTCACTAAGAAGTATGACTGAAACAAATTATTGGTGTTATCTCAAAGAGATGCTTCTTTTTTCCAAAGCAATTTGTGCAAACTGAGAACAGCTGATGATATTGAAAAAGCAAACATAGTTGTCATGCGTATGTAGACCTGCCTTCTCCAAAGAGAAGATGCATAGCTACTAGTATTATTTACACCAATACAAATACACAGAAGAAACAGCCATGCTTTCATGTTACCTCCAGAACAGTAAGTCCTGACACACTTTTCTGCACAGCTTCTCCAAAAAGATAACTGTGGGGAACAAGAAAGAGAAGAAACCAAGCATCTCTATGAACCATTTCCGGTGCTTATTTTCTTACAGGATTATACACATCTAATATTTCTCAGAACTAAGCTAAAAATGGTGCAAGCCTACTACCTTAGCACATGATCATACAGACATACAACATAGACCCAGGCAGGTTGTTGAGTGAGGCTGTACACCAGCATTGTGAATCAAAAGAAACAGTAGCACTATGTTTGGCAAACAATAACTGAAGCAAGGTTGCAGCCGATATCCTGTTGCACGATAGCCTGGAGCAGTCCCCTTACAGAAATAGTAGCCAACAACCCAAATGTCCACGTCTACATACAGTTTACTGATAAATTCATGAAGAGCACTACCTTGAGGACTAAACTCAAGCACAACTACAATTTCCATCCAACATTTCATTATGTAGTTCCTATCAATGCTACTAGGTGAGTATCAACTCAACAAACATGAACACTCTATTTTTCGCCACCTCACTTCTTGGCATCTAATTTCAAGCAATAAATCAATTAAATATTATGTGCTCTCTCATAAAAAACCTAGTAGCACACAAGAGTCTAATGAGTTGGCAAATAATTACTGTGACAAAATAAGCACTACTATACCTCAGTGATAGGGTCCCTCAACGTCCTCCGCAACACCCTAAACCTGAGGCCGAGCTTCTCGACGGTCCTCGAGAGCACAGCAATTGCCGCCACCATACCCCTGACAGTCTCCTCCACTTTCTCCACCCTCCCCGTCAATCCACCCCCCACCCCCGCAGCACCGGCCGCCGGGCGGAGCCGCCCCGACTGCCTCCGCCGTATCAGGCTGCCGATGGCCACCGCGCCCACCAAGAGCACGTACTGCAGGACCAGCAGCGGCGGGGGCACGACGCTGGCGCCAGCCGGCAGGAAGACGAGGCGCGCAGCGCAGACCACCGAGCAGATGGCCGGCGGCGCGAGGCAGAGCAGCTCCGCAGCCGAGAGAAGCGCGTCGAGGCCGAAGACGCCGCGGCGGCCGCCGAGCCTCGGCTCGCCTGTGAAATGCCCAAGGGATTAGCACGAATCGAGGTGCGGTGCGCCGGGGGGTGAGTGTGACCGTGGTGCAAGTGAGCCGAGAGTGAGTGTGTGAGGGCCGTGGGCGTGGGGGGTGGTTACCGGACGCGTGGGCGCGAATCGGCGGAGGCCATCGGGGTCGGGGACATGGCGAGGAGAGGAGCGGCGAGGGGTAAGGAGAGCACAGGAACGGGAGGCGGAAGCGGAGGCGCGCGGCCGGGGAGGAGGAGCTGGCGCGGAGCGGCGCGAGGGGACTGGGATGCGGCAGCAGCATTGGGGTTGGGGGTGATGGTGTCGTGGCCGGGCGGGCGAGGCCACCGGTTGGAAACCAAGGAGCAAGGACCTGGTCCTGGACAGGAGAGTAGAGTAGAGGCCGGACTGGGCCGGCTCCATTGGGCTTTTCTGTGGGCCCAGACTTACGCAAACCAAAGTTAGCCCAGCATCACATGGTAGTATCTTGGTTCTTCAGCAATGCAACGTCGCAACGCTTCAATCAAATCCATCGATGACTACGAGAACAAAGGATGCTCCACGACCAGAAAGGGTAATCGGCAATTCAACGGAGGCTTTACAGGAACGGTTAAGCAACTCAGTATTACTCCCTCCGATCCATTTTATCTGGCGCACACGCATATTAAGATTCAAACTTTAAAAACTTTGATCAATAATTAGACTAATAATTTTTAATCATTATAATACAAACTTTATATGGTTAGATTTGTAAGGAATTATGCTATCCAATGATTATAAGATTATAGACATAAATAATATAATATAAAGAAAATAAATAGTCAAAGCGTAATCTAGGAGACCGTGTCATTTTAACTTGCGCTAGATAAAATGGACCGGATGGAATAATCAGCAACGATAGTTCAAGCTAGAAGAATAGACGCGGACACCCTTACCAGCTGAACAATACTGGCTCGTAATTTTTTAGACAGTCAGTCAGCTAGAATCACCTCGGCAGGAGCACAACTCTGCAGAAACACTGGACGTCGACAACGAAGAAGGTTGAAGGTAAACTGAACCGGTGCAATGTCTAAGCAATTGATTGACGTCCGGCATACTCCTATATATCAGAGAGAGCAACCTGTGCAATTACCGTCAATGCTCTTCCATGTTATGCACGTCACAGATTCTGCTGGTACTGACCATGTAATGTGCAGTAGTTATGTAGGCTTCCTTATGAATCATTATGGTGACAATTTCTCCCCACCTCAACAAGGGTTTTGTTTTCAGAGGAAATCAAAGAAAAGGCTTCTTAAATTCTTCTATAAGCACAACTATCGTGACAGGCGGGTCCAACATCAGGATCAATTTCGTCATATACTTGCCTCATCGCCACTATCCGGAAAGAGCTATATGCGCGCAGTTCCAGTTCCACGAGATGCCAAACACCTGTGCAATTTTTGTCACATCTCATACACAAGGACTCTAGAAGCAAACCACAGATAATTAGCAGCACTGTTCGTCTACACTACTTCAGCACAGCAGTACTTTTCGCCGATCGAAGAGTGTTTTCTCGGGCAACAAATCAGCATAAGCATGCCATTCACCATAACACAAGATTAACATAAATAAAAGTCATAAATAAACATCCCTAGTTAAAAAGAAGATGCTACTGCAAGCACTACCACCATATACGAACTGACTAACACTACTAGGAGTACATCCTTCCCTGCTAACAGAAGAGGAAGAAGGAACATTGGGATGGGATGCCTTCCCTGCTCGCATTAGCATCAGCATCAGCATCAGCATCAGCATCAGCATCAGCATCAGCATCAGCATCAGCATCAGCATCAGCATCAGCATCAGCATCACTAACCGACAGTGTCAATCGCTATTGCTACGAGTCTCCATGGTCCCTCCGGGCCTTCTTCGGCGGCAAGGCGCAGGCGGCGGCGACGGTGTCGAGTAGCTGGCGCTGCGCGTCCTGCAGCATCCTGGCGTGGCGGGCGTCCGCCTCCTGCCACTCGCGCTCGATCTCCCACTGCACCTCCATGCGCCGCCGCTCCAGCCGCATGACGCCCTCGCCGAAATCCCTCAGCACAGCCGAGAGCTGCGCGCCGGCTCCCCCAGCCCCCCGCCCAGAGGAGCCCCCGCGGCGGGCCAGCTCCACGGCCTCGTCGTCGTCGTCCTTGGCCTTGACCGCCACCGCCGCCGCGGCGGCGGCGGCCTTGGCCTGGAACGCCTCGTAGGCCACCCTCTTGCGCGGGGGCGCGGTGGACGGCGTGATGGAAGAAGGCGGCGGCTGGTGGAGCTGCAGCTGCGGGTGGCGCGGGGCGAGGCCGGTGCCGAATTCCCGGATGATGCCGTTGATGCTCCGGGTGTTGTTGCGGGGGACGAGCTCTTCCTCTTCCTCCTCCTGCACGTTTTCCTCCTCTTCGTCCTCCTCTTCTTCTTCCTCTTCCTCTTCGTCGCCGTCGGCGGCAGGCGGGGAGCCAGCCGCGGCCGGGTAGGCGGCGAGGGGCCCCCGTTCGAGGCGATCCATGCGGCGGAAGTAAGGCCAGAGCGAGGTGACGGGGCGGGCGCCCTCGGTGCGGTAGCGCTTGCGGAGCTTCTCGAGCTTGTGGCGGCACTGGGTGCCCGTCTTGCGCTGGGCGACGACCCCCGGTGTGGCGGCGCAGCGGGCGACGACCTCGGCCGCCACCTCCTCCCACTGGTGCGCCTTGAGCTGGCCGCGGCGCAGCGCCGTCCAGCGCTCCTCGTACGCGTCGATGAGGTGCATCGTCTCGACGTCCGACCACGGCTGCGCCGGCGCGCTCTTCCTCGCTAGCGCCGACGGCGGACGCCGCGGCGGGTCGTCGGCCATCATCTGGTCACGGGAGGCTCAGATCTAGATCTGGGGGGCGGGCGGGCGGCGACTAGGGTGGGGGTGAGGACGAGTAGTTGGGGGCGGGCGCCGCGTAATAGATGATGAGCTGGGGGCGGCGGCGGCGGTGGAGGAGGATAAGGCGGGGGCTGGGTATGGGTGGTGGGCGGTTGGGTTTTTTCTGGGTGGGGGCTGGCTGTGCCATCGTCCGGGCGGGCCGCGGCGGGTGGTGGTGGTGGCGGTGTGGTTCACGTGGACGCGAGCGGCGCGCGGGCGCGGTGGATGCCACTGCCGCTGCCGCGCGCTAGCCCTAAGGGAGGCGGCCGCGGCCGCGGCCGCGTGGTCCCTCCTCTCCCCTCACGCCGCTGTGCTGTGCATCGCCAGCGGCCGCGGCCTCTCCTGCTGCCTGTGTCGCTTTGCATGACCGACCGGTGGAGCCGGGCGGGGGCAGGGCCCGGTCGTCAGTCCCGGGAGCCCCGAGCGGGGGCCGGGGAGAAGCGGAGCGGAGGCTCGCTTCGCTCGCACGCAAACGAGTCGCGGAAAGGGCTTGCTCGGGCTGCGGCGGCCGGGGCCACGGGCCCGTTGGTTTGGCACGTTGGCTGGCCCTCTGCCGGAGCGGTCACCGCCTCCGCGCCACCCACGCCTCACCTCACCGGGGTTCAGCTGGCGCCCGCGAATTTTTTGCTAAAAAAAAAAACTGGCGCACGCGAATTTGCCATGAGGTGTGCGCAATGCTCGACTCTGAAACCGAGTCCTCGGCTACCATTATAAACGGGCCCTTATAAGCTATGGTACAATATTTTTTTTCTTCTAACAAATCAACCGTACAAATCAGCATAAACGGCTTTACGAGCAGCCGAACAGAGCCATACAAGGCCGATGTTGGGTAATAATGGCACCGGCCCAACTTTGGAAGGACAAGTTGGAAAAAAAAACCTTTGGAAGGACAGGAGGCCTGCTACTTCAACCGTCCTAACACTAAGACTTCATCAACTATTCACAACATATTTGGAACACGGGAATTTTTCTTTTTCATGTGTTTTTCTATAAAAGTGAACTGGTGCCTGTGAAATCTCTGCACAATTCCTATGTTCCAATCATGCCATGTCTGATGATTACACTACATCAAAGGCTCCACACTCAAGTAATAACAACCGTGGAGTACGTTTCAGTTGTTCTTATCAATTTTAGCATCGTTGTTGCCCAGACATGACATACATAGGCAAATGCCTTTCTAGATACCAGCACAATCCACTAACGGCTAATAGCTTATACCTAATATTAGCTTAGCTATTAGTATCATTTAGATCAAGAGCTAAAAAGTATACATGTATTAATAGTGTCATCTATAATGCCATCCATAATCCTCTCATCCTCTCGAGAGAACAAACTTTGCTCTCTATCTCGTGCGTCGTCCGCGATGCAGTGAAGGGCAACCTATGCCCTAGGACCGCCTCTTGTCATCCAGACTACGAGTCTGCCACCTACCAAAATCGAAGAGGTGAGGGTAGAGGACCCTCTACCCGCTCTTTCCCAAATCCCATTGCGTGATCCTATTTTCATATTGAGGCTTAGTGGCAATCCAGTGACGAGTGGAATCTTCGCAACAGAATCCTGACATTGACCGTACCCCATGCGCCCAACTCGACAACTCTCCAGGATATGCAAACCCTAGCCCATAGGTGTCAATAGATGATTAGACATGTAGATGTAGATAGATTTAGTTGTGACTTAGTTAGTTGGAGTAATTATTGGCTGATTGTTGATGCATTGCTTACTTTATGTGTAGAATTGTACTGTGGTTATGCAAGATTGAACTTAGTTGTTGATTTCAAGGCTTAATTATGTTGCTAATATTTTTATTCTAAATTGTAGATCAAATTTTATAGTTGTCTACTGAATTCCTAAATGGATTTTAACGAGTTGCACTTGGAAGTTTTGGTTCCATATACCAACATAGAAAAATCCTTGAGTCCGCCATCGGTACAAATATCGATGTCTAACTTTGATGATTGAGTGGAAGCAAACAATAGGAACACTTTCTTGTCCATGGTTGAAGTTGGCTGACCCGTGGTGTGGATAGGTGAGTGAGGTAGAATTTAAAGCAAATTGTCTATGTTGGCTGATAGTAATGAGAAAGGTTCTATGTGAATAAAACATCCACTGCATAAAAAGAAAAAGAGAGGGACCGGGTGCCCCTTGTGTGATGGTTTAAGCGAATAGCTAATCAAGACTGAAAAGGCACTCGCACAAAACCCATGGGCTTCATGGCATTTCTCTTCATTGCTATCGTTGGAGAAAAGAAGATGATTAAAGTTGTATGCAGAATTTCTTAAAGGGATACACTGTTTGTATGTTATTTGACAAAAAGGTATACATTCATGGCAGAAAGATTCAACAGGTGTGTTTTCGTATCTTGTTTACGTCTTATTATAACAATTGAAATAAGGTCATGGTTACAAACATTGCGCAATCAATCCACATCATATGATCATAAGTTCTCAATTCCATTCCACGGTTGCATCAACTACGCAAACAACAACAAAAAAGGTGATTCATGGTGCTAAAAGATCAGGAACTATGATAAAAAGCAAGAATAATGCAATAGATGTTACTACATGGTTCTGTGTACACAGTATATTTAGAACAAAACAAGTATATAACACTTTTTTTTTGTGATGCCTCGATTCATGGAGAGCTTCATAGCTACGAGGTGCACATTGCACTTACTTGGCACAAGATCCTATATTTTTTTTTCCACATATGGGGATGGTGTTTTATGACCCATAGCCATGTCTTGGATGTTGTCACCAAAATCTCAAGCAACTATACGATCAAAATTCAGCCTGTTCGGTTGGGGCTGAAACGATCGTATACGATCCGTGAATTATTACTGCTGTACGATCGTATACGATCGTGAATTATTACTGCTGACTGGTTTGGGGTGAGAGAAAAATACTGTTCTGGTTGGAAATTTACGATCGTTTATGACCAACCGAACAGACCGATTATCCCTTATTAAAATGTGTATATTGTGACTATAAATCATCAACGTAGGCCTTGTTTAGTTGGCCAAATTTTGGAAATTGGGCTACTGTAGCACTTTTGTTTTTATTTGGCAATTAATGTTCAATCATGGACTAATTAGGCTCAAAACGTTCGTCTCGCAATTTCTAACCAAACTGTGCAATTAGTTTTTTTTCGTCTACATTTAATGCTCCATGCACGTATAGTAAGATTCGATGTGATGACTACTGTAGCATTTTTTGGGAAAGTTTTTTGGATGCGTTTAGATGCAAAAATTTTTTTGGTTTTGGGTACTGTAGCTCGTTTGTTTGTATTTGGCAATTAGTGTCTAATTATGGACTAATTAGGTTCGAAAGTTTCGTCTCGCGATTTCTCACCCAACTGTGCAATTAATTTTTTTTCGTCTACATTTAGTACTCCATGTATATGCCGCAAGATTTGATGTGATGAGTACTGCGTAAAAAATTTTGGAATCTAAACAGGCCCTAAACAATGCCGTACTTTCCTACCAACACTAGTCTACCACAGTACTACTGCTGCGGCCAGTTGGAGCAGATGACCAGGGGCCTGGATGACAGAATTTTTGATAAAACGCTGCGGTAGTGTTTTCGTCGTTATTTGACAATTAATGTCCAATCATAATCTAATTAGGCTTAAAAGATTCGTCTCGTGGATTTCATCTAAACTGTGTAATTAGTTTTATTTTTAATTTATATTTAATGCTTCATGCATGTGTCTAAAGATTCGATGTGACGATAAATCTTGAAAAATTTGGCATTTTGGGTGTAACTAAACAGTGCCTAGATGAGGAGTCAGATACACAATCTTCTCTTGATTGGACCACATGACACGACACCAAGTACACATGACACGACACCAAGTACGCAAAGAAAGCTTTCGTTATTATCCCCAAGCCGAAAAAGGGCACCCCGACCCGGTCTCGCATTTGTGCTCTCTACTTGAACTGGTCCACGGAGCACGCAGCACGCAGCACGACCACCTCCATCCAGACTCCAGCAGCGAGCCAGAAGCTTCCTCCGGCACCCATTCGGCCATTCCGCCGTGTACCCCCATCTATCCGATCCGTAGCCGAAATACCCTGCCGCCGCATCCCCAAAAATGCCACTCGCGCCATCAACCCCCGCGCTGCCGCCCAATCCGGCCCTCCCCTCGCCGTGGCGGGGGCGGGGGCGGGGCCGGGGCGGCCGCGGGGCGCTCCTCCGCGCCCGCGCCGTCCGCGCGGCTCCGCGGCCACCGAGCCAGTGGTCCGTCGGGAGCTGGCGGGGCCGCCCGGCGCTGCAGCAGCCCGAGTACCCGGACAAGGAGGACCTGGACGAGGTGCTGCGGACGGTGGAGGCGTTCCCGCCCATCGTCTTCGCCGGCGAGGCGCGCACCCTCGAGGAGCGCCTCGCGGAGGCCGCCGTCGGCCGGGCCTTCCTCCTCCAGGGCGGCGACTGCGCCGAGAGCTTCAAGGAGTTCAACGCTAACAACATCAGGGATACCTTCCGCGTCCTCCTGCAAATGTCCGTCGTGCTAATGTTCGGAGGCCAGATGCCTGTCGTCAAGGTAGTATTATAAATAAAATCGCCTCAAAGCTTTAGTGTTGTGATCGATCGATCGATCAAATTATTTAGACATCATGCCCTCTTTTTCAGCTTAAATAAATCCTTTTTTTTTCCTCTCCGCAAATTTGTTTCCCCAGTAATTGCATGTTTGCCATTAAAAATGGAGGTATGATGGATGGAAGGACAACAAATATACATGTTACATCTGTTATTAATCTTAATAGAACACAATATGTTTCAAATGTATGGTATGCATTTCTTTGGCACAAGGAATTAAGATATATAATCAAACAGCGCTGGTTGTATTTCTAAACCATGGTCAAGATAACTTTGTATATACTATAATTATATGCATATGGATGTTTAGGTGGGAAGAATGGCAGGTCAGTTTGCAAAGCCAAGATCAGATGGTTTTGAGGAGCGGGATGGAGTGAAGTTGCCAAGCTATAGAGGGGACAATATCAATGGGGATGCATTCGATGAGAAGTCAAGATTGCCAGATCCACACCGCATGATAAGTGCCTACTCACAGTCTGCAGCAACGCTGAATCTGCTGCGGGCGTTCGCAACTGGAGGTTATGCTGCAATGCAGAGGGTAACGCAATGGAACCTTGATTTCACAGAGCATAGTGAACAAGGGGATAGGTGGGTTATCTTGAATCAATGATGATTAACCTTCATGCCATGCCGATTGATTCATGCACTTATTTCTTTAATAATATTGAAATTCATGCTAAGATGTGTGCATTTTAAGTTCACTTGATGGTCTTAGTGATTAGCTTTTTGTTTACCCCAAAAATGGAAATGTTCTTTTTTCTTCTGAATCTAGAGGGATCCTGATTCGCACGAAGTGGCTGCAACACACTTAATAACACTCAAGAGCTATTCAGTTGTGCCAATTCATGGTTTACATGAGGGAAATGGTGAATAGGTACATGGAATTGGCTCACCGAGTTGACGAAGCTTTGGGGTTCATGTCAGCTGCTGGACTCACTTTAGATCACCCTATAATGACAACAACAGAATTCTGGACGTCACATGAGTGCCTTCTTCTGCCTTATGAGCAAGCACTCACACGTGAAGACTCCACCAGTGGCCTCTATTATGACTGCTCTGCCCACTTCCTATGGGTCGGAGAGCGCACTCGCCAGCTTGATGGTGCTCATGTGGAGTTCCTTCGAGGCATTGCCAACCCTCTTGGTATCAAGGTAAATATTATACTCAACATCTAGCAACTCCTGTTTGACCTCTGCATTTGAAAATTGAAAAGCTCAAGGTTTAGGTATACTCTGAGAAATTTCTCCTCATCCATTGCAATACAGGTTAGTGACAAGATGGACCCAGCAGAACTTGTGCGGTTGATTGATATATTGAATCCCGAAAACAGGGCTGGGAGAATAACCATCATCACAAGAATGGGACCTGAAAACATGAGGGTGAAACTTCCACACCTGATACGTGCCGTCCGTGGGGCCGGCCAGATAGTAACATGGGTTACTGACCCAATGCATGGGAACACCATGAAGGCCCCTTGCGGACTCAAAACCCGCTCATTCGACAGAATTTTGGTAATTCTCTTTGCTTGCTATCTTATCTCCATGTTGGACTATTTGCTTGTATTTTTGTCAAGGGTCTGTATTATTTTTGAGTGAATAGTGACTAGTCGTTATCTCTTTGTGGTGCCAGTTTGTCTATGCAGTCCGCAAGTGTGAGTTTACAAGGGACATGGTATATAGCTTTACTATACTGATCGTTTCAGTCATACTGATTGTTTTGGTCTCTAGAGTAAATTGTACAATATATCCATGAGACCATCCAATTGAATTGAAAATTGCTTGAAAAGGTTGAAAGCGATTGATAAAGAAAATTTGCCCCAATCTATTGCGCTCTCATGGATCTTTTGGATATTCCTCGAATATTCCAGCCCCATTATAAATTCTGGTCGGATGTAGTGGTTTGGTCCTTCCAACTATCTATTTTACCATCCTTGTCAGTCAGCTGCCAAAGATTAGGATAAAAGGTTGTTGGTTGTTGTCTTGTTGCTATCGCTTAGTGCTTGGTACGTGATAGGAGTGCTGAATAATTTCTATGCATCCAATCTCATACTGGAGAATAAGTAAATGAACTATTTCTGATGGCTATGTTGTTGAAACCAGGCTGAGGTGCGTGCGTTCTTTGATGTCCACGAACAAGAAGGGAGCCACCCTGGAGGAGTGCATCTAGAGATGACTGGACAAAATGTTACAGAGTGCATTGGAGGGTCACGTACCGTGACATTTGATGATCTGGGCTCACGCTACCACACGCACTGTGACCCAAGGCTCAACGCCTCACAGTCTCTGGAGATGGCATTCATCATCGCAGAGCGTCTTAGGAAAAGGAGGATTGCCTCGTCGCCTCTGTACACGAACCAGCTGGGTTCGATTCGTCTGTGAACTTTGATAAGTTCACTGACAAGGACTAGTCCTTCGGTTTTGTTTTAGCTGCTGTGTCAAATTTTGCTGTCATATATACTGGTAAACAAGACAACCTTTTGATTTCCGGTGTCATATAAAAAAAAGGGCGTACCTAGTGCAGAGAGCTCCGGTTCTGTGCGGGGTCTGGGAAAGGGTGTCAGTCGCAAGCCATATATAAATAATAAAATGCAAGTTACCTTCTCCAGCTCTCCTACTCGTAAAGTAGCTGTTCTAAATTTCCCTCTTGAGAATTGCACTATACACTGAATCTATCTGGTAGGTTTATGCAGTAACTGAAGTTGATAATCGGTTGAAACATGAATGAACGGGCGATAGAAGACTGGTAGTATGACCATTCAGAGCAGGAATCTTGTACTTCTGCATTTGTCTTTCAAATATTACCTCCGGTTTCTCTTAGAGGTTGTGGGAGATCAAAGAAGCCGTGTGTGTGTATAAATATATGCGTGCCATGTAATACTGATACAGTGTATATTCTGATTCATGAATGGACATTCAAATTTATACAAATCTGTCTACTATAGCTATGTTTGTTTTATAGATAATACAGTAGCATATTCTCGTTGTAAGGTTCGTTTTGAACTAGTCAAATTTTGATCGGGTTATCTTTTGTTCTCGTGTTCGAGTCGTGGTCTCCTCGCACTGCACAAGCGAGGATAATGCTTGTCACTGACATCCTTCCTTAGACCCCGTACAGAGCGGGAGCTCTCTGCACTGGGTACGCCCATCTTTTGTTCTCGTGTCTTGAGGGTTTCATGCATTTGCATTCTCGTGTCTTGAGGGTTTCATGCATTTGCACCGAAGAAGATTTACAGTTTTTTTGAGGAATCAAAGCACGCTAAGGCCCTGTTTGGTTGGGCTTTTGGCTTTGGCTTTTGGTCCCAAAAGCCAAAAGCCCAACCAAAGGGGCTGCTTTTGGAGGGTGTTTTTTTAAAAGCAGCTGCTTTTCCGTAGTTCATTTTTGAAAGCTGGGTTGACCCTACTTTTGGCTTTTGGCTTTCTGCTTTTTGAAATTGGTGGAATAAAAAACTCTTCCATAGTTGTTTCAAGAGAGATAAAGATAAAAGGTATATTTTATACTTGTTTAACCAAACAGCTTTCAGCTTTTCTACAGCTCACAGCCCACAACAGCTTTTCCACAGCTCACAGCTCACAGCAGCTTTTTCCCACAGCCACAGCTCAACCAAACAGGGCCTAAGTATAACGGCAGTGACAGCGGATGGACACCCGCGCCTGCACTCCACGTACCTGCACTCCATGTACCGCTCGACCTCAAGCGGCGTTCACGCCCCACCCAATGCCACGTGGCGTCTACGCCCTCGCCTAACCCACGCGGTGTCTGCGCCCCGCTTGACCCCTCACGCCCTCTTCGGCAGCTGCAGTAGGCGGGTCATATGTGCAACCGATCTACTTTTGAAACATCCAGTCGTAACACTTGTAACATACGTTTGAAGACATATGAAATACTTGAAACATTGTCTGAAACACTTACAAAAATACCTAAAAACGCTCGAAAATCATTGCAAACATACACAACATCTAGATAAAACACTTGCAACATATGGGTGAAACATATCCAACATCTAGATAAACACACTTAAAACATACGTCTGAAAAAAATAGATAAAATATTGGGAACAGACGTTTGCAACGTACGTGTACGCCCATTGCAACATATGCAATATCCTAATTTACTTTTGCAACATCTATACGAAACACTTATAACATATCTCTGAAACACTTGAAACATGCGCTTGCAACATTTACTTGTTGCTTAGGAGAATAGGGCTCGTCGGTGTGTGTTCATTGGTGTAGAGCTCGCCGGTAGCGCGGAGATCGCCGCTCCATTGGAGAAGGCCGCGACAGGTCTGGTGGAGAAGGCCACGGTGGGTCTCCACATTGTGCCGGTGGAGCGCTAGCTGTGCGTGGGGTGAGCTCCGTTGCGAGCTGTGCGTCGGCCAGCTCCATCCCGGGCGTCACGAGCTATGCGCGGGCGAGTTCCGCCCCGGCCATGGTGAACTGGGCACGCGAAGCGCGAGATGTGCGCGCCTCCACCCGGCCGTCGCGAGCTGCACAGGTGGAGCGCGAGCTGTGCGCGATTCGAGCTCCGTTGTGGCGATTATTTTTCCTCGAAGCTGCCATGACTAGAGAGCTGGACGAACAGACAGGAGGAGGGTCATTTGGAGTAGCGTCGCGGCCCTCGAATACCTAAGTATAAATACTTATATCAGGTACGCATAAATCTTGGAATCAGCATATTGTTCCGTAAAATTTAATTTCTTAACATGCCAGATTTTTAAATTAGGATAAGATGCTCTGTTGCCATGCCATTCAGTTCCTTCCAGCAAACAACTTGTTAAATCAAAACCGAAGGTTAAGATATATAGGTGCTGTGCGTCTTTGCAACCGCACATTATCCTTGTTGATGACATCCTAATCCTACTGAGCACACCCACCTCACCACCACAGTCCACGAGCACAAATTGAAATGCTGGAATGTTAGCCGCGAGGACCCCCGCCTGCGTCGTCGCCGGCGGCCAGCGGGGGCGATGCGTCGGGGGCAGCGAAAGGAGGCGCGGTCGCGCGCCGTGCCGCCAGTTCACGCAGGCGCTCGAGAGCCTCTGGAGTTGCAGTCCCCGGATCCCTCCTCCTGCCCCTCCCGCTGCCGAGGCCAAACCCTCGCTGCAGCCGCCACTACTGGAGAACGCTGCCTTCGAAGAGTACTATAAGGTGTGGTGCCCATTTCGATTTCAGATAGCTTCTTTCCTATCTATCGCATTGGCACGATTTGAAGTGAATCAAGCTGCAGTGTCTGGGGTGACAGCTTGTTTGTTGAGATTGGAACGATTTGTTGCTGCAGTAATGATAAATGTGTTCATATATATATGAACAATATTTCTGTATCATAGGTCTGAGGTTTAACTGATTACCACTATGTACTCTTGTGCTAGGTGAGTTTAGTCTTCATATTTAGAGTTACGTAGAAAATGGCATGGTTTCAGGTCCTGCTCTTCTGGATGTGTGTCAGTGTGTGTGATCGCACCTGCATATTTGTTTGGGCAGGTTCAGCAAATTGTCCGCAAGGAGGAGTGGGATGCCTTCATGAATGTCCTGCGGAAACCGTTGCCAGCGACCTTTCGGATCAATGCCTGGTAATGCTGGTTACTCTGAAGTGAAATCATGAATTGCCACTGAGGTCTTCATTTAGTTATCCAATTCCTTGGCTTGAGTAACTCCACATGGACCACTGTCATCAACGGTTCATGTTCTCTTGGACGTGATGCCCATCTCTCCTCGTTCTGCACCCAAAGCCTTTGGTTATCAAAGGTTGGCTGCTCCATGACTTGGATATCTGGTTAATCTGCCATTCAAGTAGTCATGTGCAAGGGTTGTATTAGATAGTTTATTTGCAATCTGCGCTTTATGGTAGTCCAGTAAGGAACCTGTACTTCAGAATAGCCTTAGGAATGCGTGTAAACCATCCAATTAATTGTCACTTATTATAAGACTCATGTAGTTTCAGGGTAGCTTCAAGTGTGCCATTTAGCAAACCTTTCATTGTAGTTACTGCAAAAGTTTATTCCATTAAGCAATATCATGCTATTCTCACAAAGGCTAAATTTACTTTTGCGTATTTGATACATGAACACAATAATTCATCTTTTACTAGTGCTTACCATGTAAGCTGAAGGTTTACATTTCTACTTTCCTTTTCAGTTGCCAGTTTTATAAAGATATCTGCTCAAAGTTGGAAAATGAATTTAGGCGATCTTTGGAGAGTGGGGTAGCCTTTTCTCTGTCGTCTATGAATTTCTCCTTACTCAATCCTTGACATTTTCTAATTTACAATTAAAAAACTCACTGCAAAGGTCAGTAATGAGCATGGAGAAGATGCTATAACTTCCTTGCCTTGGTATCCATGCAATCTTGCATGGCATCTGAATTTCTCTCGGAAGGAATTGAGGAAAAATCAGGCACTCGAAAGGTAATTAATTGCAGCATGATGCTTATGTCTTGCCATGACCTGAATCTTGCTTGGTTTATGTAGTGTAAATACGGGACACTCTTGGCTTTGCACTAGTGATTATATGGTAGGGATTTGGGGTGGGGTGGAGATGTCTGAGATGGTCTTGAAGTGGGCTTCAAACTGAGTTGTATTGGGTCAGAAGAATCAGGATATCCAATAAACATCAGATACTGGTACTGCAGATTGGTAGAGCATCAGGTTAACCTAGGGAATATTTGTTCCACAATTATGTTATTAAAATTTATCTAATTTCAGGAACATTGGCTTATGTAGAATTGGTTTTTATGAGCAATCAGTTTTCCCAAAAGCTTAAATTGTTATGGGGAAGTTGGCTATATATTTCTTTCACTTTCAAACTATTATTATTCTGAACAATTAATTTCTGTTTCTACCTTGATGTGCTATCGATTAATCTATGAGTATTCTATTGATCCACTCTTCTTTTCCAGTTTTCATGAGTTTCTAAAGCATGAGAGTGAGGTTGGTAACATAACTAGGCAAGAGGCTGTTAGCATGGTGGGCATCCTGTAACAATTTGTTGATAAATATTGTCATATCTGTTAACTTGTATTTTAGTTGTTTTTTCGATTCTGTTAGACGAAGTCTTGTTTCATTAACTGAAATTTATTTCTACAGGTTCCGCCACTGTTTCTGAATGTACAACCAGATCACCATATTCTTGATAGTATGTCCCTGTTTAATTCTTCTCTGTTATCTTAAATATCCTGTGCTTCTCATACAAACCGACTGTGTCAATGGGTATTCTTTCATTTTGATTGGATGACAAAATACTCCAATAGTATAGCCTCACATGTATCTGCGTATCTTGTGCAGTGTGTGCTGCTCCAGGATCTAAAACTTTTCAGTTACTTGAGATGATTCACCAATCAAAAGAACCAGGGCTACTTCCAGGAGCATTGGTATGTTTCTCCCTCAGTTTCATGTGGCACTAAAACTATTGCTCTTATAATTCTTGATGATTTTTGGAGTCATATTAGTTGTTAGTATTTAGTTTTGTTACATGTAGTTAGTAGAACTAGTTGTGTTATAATTTCCAAAGACTTATGAGAAATGAATAGTTTAGTTATATTGGTATGGCCCAGGACCAACTTGACCTAGTAAGCAGCTCAGTCAGGCCTGCTGTATTGTTATGGGGTCAATGCTAACTTGTGTACTGTAGGCTGTGGCGCCGGCATGGTAAGAACTAAGAAGGATCTAGAGCCTAGATGACTAGGAGGTCTATCTCCTGTACTACCTCTGTCCCTAAGTCATAGGCCCCTATATATAGAGGCCCAATGTACCCTTGCAACTTAAGGAGAAGTAGATCAAAGGCTTAGCCCATCTCTTCCGCCCCTGTCTTGGGCGTCGGCCTACTGGTCACTGTTCCTACCCTCTCACTTCTCCCCAAATCCCCCTTCCCTAATTTGGGGTAATCTAAGTACTAACATATATATTCTCCCTTCTTGTGAGACTGATTAGGTGATAGCCAATGATCTCAATGTGCGAAGATGTGACCTCCTTATCCATAATACAAAGAGAATGTGCACCGCCAACCTAATAGTAACAAACCATGAAGCAGAAAACTTCCTCTATTGTTCTCTTGCAAAGGATTCTTTAGAATCATATAAAGATCCCTGCGAACTACAAAGGTTAGAATTCGACCGCATACTTTGTGATGTTCCCTGTAGTGGTGATGGGACTATTCATGAAGGGTCAGGACATGTGGAGAAAGTGGTAATAACTGAATCTTTGTTTTGTCTGCTGCTTTATGCTTCCCTGTATGTATCCTCAGGTCGCAATCTGTTATTGTTGTTCAGGAACTCAGGCATGGGTAACCAACTTCACCTTCTGCAAGTAAATATTGCAATGCGTGGTATGGATCTGTTAATATTGATTTGACACTTTGTTGGGGGTGATTCTTCTTTCTAATTGAGTAATCATAGTATACCATGAGTTTTTAAACATACCTACCTGGGAATTTCGTCGGAGTTCTACTGCATAATATATCACAGTTTGAGAGCAAAATATATCATTTGAAGCTTTAAGGTTAACAGTATGTAATATCACAGTTTTATTTTATTTCTTAAGGTATTGCATTACTTAAAGTGGGTGGAAGGATGGTCTATTCGACTTGTTCAATGAATCCTGTTGAAAATGAAGCTGTCACAGCTGAGGTATCTACTGTAGTTTCTTACCTTTAGCTGTTGAACATAAAGCTGTTAATTTCTTGCGACTTCTAGCCTAGATATGAGCAAAATCTCTGCGCGTTGAAGGCCTTCTGGAGTAGTTTAGTCACATAGTTTTGGGTGCTTTATTGGCTGGTCATTTAATAAGGCAATTAAGGTAGCTTATAGAATCCAAAATGATGTCTGGACAAATTCAATTTGTATGCCTTACAGGCTCATGCCACTGGATTTATGAGGCCGCTTAAGCACAAGCCCCAATCTGAACCGTCCTCATCGAACTCCAAGATCTGTAGAGGAAATTCCAAAAAATTCATATGTTATTTGGGTTGGTGTAGTTTTTTAAACTTAAGTCCTTAACTATGAGTGATTACCTTTCCTTTAGGCTGCTGCATACAAATACCATTTGCTATTCATTTTTACAATCTGTTCACAATATGTGTGCTGTAACATGAATTAGCTTTGCAAGTTGTTCATGTATCTCATAATCATATAGCTCCTTCAAGAAGTGGAAACTCTATTGAACTCCTTGATGTTTCTAGCGAGCTACCTGAATTGGTCCGGCGTCGGGCTTAGCACTTGGAAGGTTTGTGTGCTTATATCTATATCAAGGTTGATCCCTTGGTTACTTTCTTTTTATGTGTTGTATCTAATAAGATTGCTCATTCTTAATTACAATTTTACCCCTGGTTTGTATGTGTCTCTGGAAGGGCAGGCCTGGTGCAAGTGGTGAGAGCTGTCTCACCGAGTCACCAGTCACGGGTTCAAGCACCTCTCCGCAGATTTTATGGGGAAGGCTTGCCTCGCTTTTTCCCTTCCCAGCACCCCCACTCATGTGGGAGCCTCCGCACCTTTGGTCACCACAGGCATTGGTCGAGACCGAACCGATCGGTTCGGTTCCTCGATCATTCGGGTCGATTCGGTCATTAGAAACCAGGACCGATCGGTCTTTGTAAAAAAACGAAGACCGAGGAAGTTCGGTCTCGGTTAGTTCGGTTCGGTCTCGGTCACGACCGAACTAACCGAACCTGAGTAGCAACCACAAACAATAGCAGAATCTATAGCAATTTTTAACAAAGATGCTTGCTATTTGAAGGCAAAAAATAACAACACAATATATAAAACAAACCACACATTATTATGACAAGTTCTAGCACACAACTTTCTCAGCTCTCACAAATCACAATCACACATAATGACATTACTGAACGAAGTCTACAGAACTACGGTCAGTTCGGTCACTTCGGTTAACCGACACATATGACCGAACTTCTATCGGTTACTTCGGTTAGTTGGGAGCCAGGACCGAACTCATGACCGAACTTTTCGGTCTCGGTCTCGGTCTTTTCGGTTCGGTCTTCGGTCTTCGGTTAATTATGCCCAGAGTTAGGCACTGGGTCTGCCCCTTTGTATGTGTCTCTGGATTCACGATTATGACACACAACATACTATACCAATGGCTTTACTTTCGTTATGATTTTTTAGTTTACTAATAATCTTTTACATGGAGAAAATAAATTGAGCATGTCAGCACAGGTCTCATTTTTTTTACTCTCTCAAAGTATAGATACTTATCACTTTTGACCACTTTATTTATCTTGTTCGTGATTCCTGAAATGTTTTCCCAAAATGCCCCTATATATTCTGTCTATACCATCTACTTTGGTTCCTCTTTTTTATACGGGTGATAACTAGGAGCATTTTGGTCCAATTGACATCACAATTATTTTAATTGGTTTATGTGTATTGGCTGAATTTGACAATTATTTGTAAGCAGAGGATCTATAGTTGTCTCTTTTTTTTGTAGAATTATGATTGTTTTTAGAATAAACCTTTTTTCCATCTCAGTGTTTTAGTCGAACAGTTAGTCCCTACTTGACAATGTACAATACATAATCAACAACAACAACAACAACAACAACAACAAAGCCTTTAAGTCCCAAACAAGTTGGGGTAGGCTAGAGTTGAAACCCAGCAGAAGCAATCAAGGTTCAGGCACGTGAATAGCTGTTTTCCAAGCACTCCTATCTAATGCTAAGTCTTTGGGTATATTCCATCCTTTCAAGTCTCCTTTTATTGCCTCTACCCAAATCAACTTCGGTCTTTCTCTGCCTCTCTTCACGTTACTATCCTGGCTTAGGATTCCACTACGCACCGGTGCCTCTGGAGGTCTCCGTTGTACATGTCCAAACCATCTCAACCGGTGTTGGACAAGCTTTTCTTCAATTGGTGCTACCCCTAATCTATCACGTATATCATCGTTCCGAACTCGATCCCTTCTTGACCGCAAATCCAACGCAAATGTACAATACATAATCAAGGTGGCAAAAATCTTATCCTTCTATTCTGGTTATCCTAGCGGTTCCTTTTCTGACTCTTGCAGGTACAAGACCGAGAATCTTGGTTTCAGAGTCACGATGAAGTTCCACACAATAGGAAGAATGTAGTATTGCCAAGCATGTTTCCTGCAAGTAATAGCACTGAGGAAAGCCATACTGTGTGTGGTGATGTTGAAGTGAACATAGATAATATGAACAGCTTCTCAAGAAATATCAACATTGAAGAAACGGAAAAAGTTAATCATGATATGGATGGAGTTTCTATTAGTTCCAATAAAATTTTGGATTGCGCTTCAAACATTGTGAGTTCAAAATTTCCACTGCATCGGTGCATGAGGATTGTTCCTCATGACCAAAACAGTGGGGCATTTTTCATCGCAGTTCTTCATAAATTGTCTCCCTTGAATGGTAATCTCCGCTTTCTTTTTGATGATTCCACTCAATACCTTTCAAGAAAGTTTGCATTTAATCTTATATGCCTCCATGCATAAATAGTACTACCACTGTATACTTGAATGCTCCGCGTTCTTTCAGGCAGTCATATAAAGGGCACAAAAATTCAGCACACACTTGGAACAGACAGGATTATGCAGTTTCAGAAAGAACCTGAGCCAGAAACAAGACCCTATGAAACTATTTTGACACTCCAACAGCACAACGTTTCTGAAGTTGATACTGAAATGCTGGGTAGGCGACAGAATTTAAGAACAGACAGCCAAACTTCAAAGGATAAGAACTCAACCGAGGTTGAAATGGGTTTCAGTGATGTAGAAAGCACTCAAGCAGAGTCAGGAGATAGAATGGAGTTGCAAAAGCAAAGCAGGTGGAAAGGGGTTGATCCTGTCTTATTTTTGAATGATGAAGCGGTGATAAAGAGTATAATATCCTTCTTTGGCATCAAGGAATCATTCCCACTCGAAGGTCATCTGGTGACTAGAAGTACTGATAACGCAAGGAGAATATATTACATATCAAAATCAGTTAAAGAGATTTTGGAGCTGAATGCAGAAGTTGGTGGGCAGCTCAAGATGGCTTCACTTGGTGTTAAAATGTTTGTAAGTATAAAGTGCTCTAAACACACGGTGTTCCTTACTGATTCATGATTTCTTAGGAACATTGAACAGTGGAAGAACATACATATTTTACTCAAACTTTGAGGTACTCTGTTCTCTTTCAGGAAAGGCATAGATCAAAGGATGCCTGTCCATGTGCATATAGGTTGTCTTATGAGGGATTATCGCTACTGCTTCCATACATCAGCAAGAGGATACTATATGCATCCCCACCTGACTTCCACCGCCTTTTACAGTACCGAAGCATAAACTTCGCTCATTTTCTCGACACCAGATTTGGGGAGCAAGCTGCATCCTTGATGCCTGGTTGCTGTGTTGTAGTGTTACTCAAAGGTAACATTATGCCCTATCTGAAGGTAAAAGAAACAATGACTTCATAATCTAACTTTCTCTAGTATTTCAGGGCATAAGCATGTAGATTCCATTTCTAAGGATCCCTCCACAATTGCCATTGTTTGCTGGAGAGGGAAGGGGACTATGAACGTTATGGTTTCTCCCTCGGATAGGAAGGATCTTCTTGAAAGGATGGCGTATCGCTTTGGCCTTAAAGCCTGTGTAGAGGAAGATGAGAGATCTTGTCACAAGGTTAATTGATTATGATAACAACGTGGAGACTCAAGACTGGCAAAGTGAGGACAATCAGGAACCTCTAGCTTTCACGCCATGTGTAGGCCGTGTAAAATAGGCTGACGTAACACTGCAGCATGCTGTTGGCGGATGCTGACGTCCCACTGATTTTGTTTCTCAAGTTCTGTGCTATTCTTGCGTGTAAACAAGTCATTTCCGACACAGAAGGAAAAACTACTACAATATATACTTTTGAAATGTAACTTGGTCCGTTGAACTTGTGATTATGTCTTAATCTACTCAGATATACTTACCTAATCACAAATCACAAAAGGGGTAATTTCAGGTGGAGTTTTAAATGCACGAGCAGTTGTTGGGAAACTGAAAAAAACATATGGCATATCAACATAGACGAGCAGTATGCTTCCGCCGTTGAAAAAGCTAGTGTGAACCCCCAACGCACGCAGCCGTCAATTTTCAACAAGGCACGATGTTCTTGTGTTGGTTTCCGCCTCTCTCTGATCAGCTTTCACATGGAAATGGAAACGCTTGTTCGTCAACCTACTTCTCCCGCCCCTGACATCACACTGAACGGGACTTGCAGCAAGTTTCATGGAAAGAGAACGTGTACGTCAGATTGAGCGGCCCTGAATATTGTATGCTGATTCACATTTCCCTCCAAAGTAGTGGCACCAGGGTTTTGTCTTTGGTGTGACGAGATCAACACGTCGCTACATCGTCAGATCTCAGATGCCTTATGCGCAAAAAAAGAAAAGAAGCTCTCAGATGCCTGCAAAATTTGTGAAGAGCTATCTGATGATATTCTGAACAAGATTTGATTTTGTCGATCGTTTTTTACGACGGATCCCTGAAAACACAGTGTTCTTTGACCATGGAGCACCCATCCTTTTCGAAACCCTGAAATATCTTTCTAGGACCAATCTTTGTCTTGGTGTCAATTCCAATCACATATGGCATCGCGTGTGCCAAGCAAACACTACTCCTAGGACGCGTCTAGTTTTCAGCCACATGTACCCCTAACTTACTTGGGAATCAATTCAAAACAGAACAATGGTGTCCAAATCAAGTCCTAACAAAAACAATGGTCAGAAATTATATCATCAGTGTTTGATCTGAACAACACTTTCTCAAAGCACAGCATGCAGGATCGGAGGCAGCAGCAGCAGCAGATGCTTGTCGCCACACCCACACTGATCGCCGTCGTGCTGGTCGTCTCGGCATGGCCGCCATCGGTATCGGCGGCCGCGCCACCACCAACACCATACGGCGGGAACGCCTCCTGCCAGCGGCGGTGCGGCGACCTGGAGATCCCGTACCCGTTCGGCATCGGGCGCGGCTGCTACCACTACACGGGCGAGGGCGACATCACCTTCGAACTCACCTGCAGGCGCACCGCCGGCGGCGGCTACCAGGCCTTCAGCGGCGAGTCCATCGAGGTCATCGACATCAACGTGCGCCTCGCCCAGGCGCGCGTCCGCAACGACATCCAGGCCTGGTGCTACGACCGCACGTCGCGGTCCATGGTGGGCGACACGAGCCGCTGGGGCCCGGACCTCTCCGACTCTCAGTTCCGGGTCTCCGACGAGGGCAGCCGCTTCGTCGTCGTGGGCTGCAACTCGCTGGCATACGTGCAGTCCGTCAACACCGGCACCGTCTACATGACGGGATGCATGGCGACGTGCCCGGACGCCGGGACGCTGGTGAACGGCTCCTGTGACGGCATGGGCTGCTGCCAGGCGGCCATCCCCCGGGGTATCAACACCTACGCGGTGGAGTTCGACGACCGCTTCAACACCTCCGCCGTCATGGGCTTCAGCCCCTGCACCTACGCCGTGCTCATGGGAGGCCGCCGCGTTCGACTTCCGGATCACCTACGTCACCACCAGGGACTTCATGACGTCCACCACCGGCGGCAAGGTGCCGGTGCTGCTGGACTGGGTAGTCGGTAGGGAGACGTGCCGGGAGGCGAAGCGGAACGCCACGGCGTACATGTGTGTCAGCGACGACAGCGAGTGCGTCGACTCCAGGAACGGCGGCGGCTACCTCTGCAACTGCTCCACAGGTTACCAAGGAAACCCCTACATCCCTGCCGGCTGCCAAGGTCTGTACTCTGTCCTGTTCGGCATGCTCATAAAAAAGATAAACTTTTGCTAGTTTTGACACGCAGACACACCAAAAGAAAAATACAAACTTTGATCTGATCTGCTGCTGCAGACATTAACGAGTGCGAGGAGGATCCTAACAAGTACCCTTGCTCTGTTCCTGGAACCTGCACCAACACTCCCGGAAGCTTCATCTGTTCTTGCCCCGACAAGACGACAGGCAACGCTTACAATGGCACATGCGAGGCAAAGAAATCTCAGCTCGGAGTGCGCGTCGCAGTTGGCGTTAGCGCAGGCTTGGTCATGCTAGTGGTCACCATGTCCTGCGCCTACATGATCCGCCAGAAGCGGAGCCTCGCCGCCGTGAAGCAGAGGTACTTCAAGCAGCACGGCGGCCTCCTGCTGTTCGAGGAGATGAGGTCGAAGCAAGGCCTGTCCTTCACGCTGTTCACCGAAGAGGAGCTGGAGGAGGCGACCGGCGGTTTCGATGAGCGCAACGTGCTGGGCAAGGGGCAGCAGCGGCACCGTCTACAAGGGGTCTCTCAGGGACGGCAGGGCCGTGGCAATCAAGAAGTGCAAGCTGGTGAGCGAGAGGCAGGAGAAGGAGTTCGGGAAGGAGATGCTCATCCTGTCCCAGGTCAACCACCGGAACGTCGTCAGGCTCCACGGCTGCTGCCTCGAGGTGGAGGTCCCCATGCTCGTCTACGAGTTCGTCCCCAACGGCACGCTCTACCACCTCATCCATGGCGACCGCCGCCACGGCGGCTCACGCGTCTCCTTCGCGACGCGCCTCAAGATCGCGCACGAGGCCGCCGAGGCGCTCGCCTACCTCCACTCCTGGGCCTCGCCGCCGATCATCCACGGCGACGTCAAGTCGCCCAACATACTCATCGACGAGAGCTACGCCGCCAAGGTGTCCGACTTCGGGGCCTCGACGCTGGCGCCCACGGACGAGGCGCAGTTCGTCACGTTCGTGCAGGGCACCTACGGCTACCTGGACCCGGAGTACATGCAGACCTCCAAGCTGACGAGCAAGAGCGACGTGTACAGCTTCGGCGTCGTGCTCCTGGAGCTGCTCACGTGCAGGAAGGCCATGAACCTCCAGGCGCTTGACGACGAGGAGATCAACCTCTCGGCGCAATTCCTCCACGCCATGGGTGAGAAGAGGCTCGATGAGATACTGGACGAACAGATAAAAGGCGAGCAGAGCATGGAGCTGATCGAGCAGGTGGCGGAGCTGGCGAAGCAGTGCCTGGAGATGGCGAGCGAGAAGAGGCCCTCCATGCGGGAGGTTGCGGAAGAGCTCGACAGGGTTAGGAAGCTGTCGCAGCATCCCTGGGGGAGCCAAGAAGACACTTGTGATGCGGAGGAGCTCAAGGCCTTGCTTGTCGGATCACCAGGGACAGGGACGTCCTCTGAAATAGAACTTAGTATTAGTACTAATGCGTATGTTAGCATGACAGATTCAGCCTATTTAGGGATTCGATCTCCACGATGAGTATCTTTTTAGTTTCCTTAGAATCACTTGTTTTGTTTGTTCAATCTCCACGATAGCATCAATTATCCCCGGCCCCTAGAATCATTTATTTTCTTTGTTCACTGCTTCACTTAGTAATGGGTAATACTAAAAAGCTACTAGTAGTCTTTCTTTCTCCATCAATGAAAAAAAGATAATAATGTTCTTTATTCTGTTTTACTGATAGTGAAAATCCCATTATAATACCCCTTTGTTCCAAATTATATTTCAGTTTGATTTATTTTTTTTGTAATTCAATCTTTCTCAAATATTGACTGAATTTTGCAGCAAGATGTACCTGTATTATTTTCAAATACCCAAAATCAACATAGAAAAAGTTATAATATAAGTTTGAACAAATGACTTAGAATAATCTCCAAAGATCACTTGTTTGTGATTTGAGCCCCCGCCCTCCCCTAAAAAAAATGCAATCCGCGCCTCACGAGAAGTCATACAATTTTAATTCTGACCACTTCTATAAGAAAAGGTATTAATATTTTTTTATATCAAACAAGTATCATTGGATTGGTTATGAAGTATATTTTTATGGTAAATCTATTTGGAGATATAAATATTGATACTTTTTCTACATATGAAATAGATTAGTAAACTAAAATTGCATTATTTTGGGGGACGGAGGGAGCATTTTGTGCTTGTATAGAATTCTATGCAAACTCACACAAAAACGTGCCACTGATTAAGCATCGCCGGCTGTCCAAGTGTCACCGGGCTTTCCTCTTTCTTGGGCTTCACTGGGCCTCATTCGGCTTCATGGAGACTTTTGGTTTAGAACATGTGGGATATGCACGCGTAGATGGAGTTGGACGAAACTGTTAAACCAATGTCAACCGTAACAGCGTGTAACCGCGGCGTACCGAAAAACCGTGGGCTCTCTTGTACGTAGATTGTAGAATGCGCAGCTCGTGTGGGCTGTGTTTGTTTGCTGCGTCTCCTTGGCACTTGGTGGGCTAGCTTTTGCACGCAACCACAGTTGGCCAGTCTCCGTGTAGCTTTTCGGCCTTTTCTGCTAACAAAAGAGAGTGAGTGAGAGGCATGATGAGCGGTGGGATCGAAAGGGAACCTGGGAACGGCACGGCCATCTCCACCGTTCGAGATTTATGCTGTGGTTAAAAAAAACCCGATGCTAGCTAGCTTAGGTTAATAGGGGCGTTCAGCCAAAACAAAATCCGGCATTGAGCACGTAGTACTGACAACAGAGTGAACTGACACCGTCGTCTGAACGAACATCTTCGTTGCAATTGCAAGCTACTAGAAAGTTACTACTTTCTATCTAGAGTCTAAAGACGTTACGGTCCACTGCTAAGCTGGCCGCGCCGTAGTTTAATGGTGGGTTTTGAGCGCAGTCAAAATCATATCACATCGCTTTGTGTTCTTTAATTTCCTGCCTCGTGTCGACGTCGTATTTTCTTCCTTAATTAGTCCAGCGCATGCGCTACGGCACACTAGCTTTTCTGCAAACCAAGCATCACATCATATCACATTCACTTTTGAACCTTCCGACACTGTATATATAATATATAATAATAAATCGATCCGGCGGCTATATAGTCTCTTGCATTGGGGGCTTCGCTAAGACTTGCTTTGACTTCGTCCATGGACTTCCACCACACGTGCAGTGGGGATAAAAGTTGAAACAAAACTAATTACAAGACCTCGTTTTTCAAGTTTTTTTTCCATGTAATTTTAGGATAAATAGGAAACGAAATATAATCACACAGTTAACAAAATGATAAGAAAAATATAGAAGCAAATCAATTTTGTCATTTTGTGACATTCTTATCGTTTTCGAAATTTCCCATATTTTTACGAATAATCTTTTTCAGATGTTTTAACCTAGTTCTAATAGCATCGTTCTCTCTCTTTTTTTCCAGAAAAAGGGATTTTTCTTTTTACCTTGCTATAAGCTTATTTAGTTTGTCACACGCCCTACTTTGTGACAACTGAAAGTGATATGTTCAGATAATAGGGGGAATCTGTGGTCTTAGTCACCAACTATATCCCTAGGGAATTTCATGGCTTCTAGATTTAGAGAAAGTCATTAGGTTACATGGATAGGATGGTGATAGTAGTGAGGGTGTCACAGGCCACAAGCAGCAGAAAATAGCCAGACGTGTAGCGCTAAGATGGGTTCCCCGTATCTCAAAGGCTTCTTATATACTTTCGTATTGATACGGATAGAGATTTTGGTGAAGACTCCACTGTCAAATCTGGAGAGGAGGACGGACTAGGGAGTTTGCCTTGGCATCTTGATAAGGGTCTATTTGGTTGGTTGCTAGCTAATTAAAACTTGCTGCGCCACATTTTAGGCATGTGTGTTTGATTTCACATCATAAGTGCCATTTTCGGACTTTTCTTACCGATGTGTCTAGCATACAATTGACTAATTTGTTTTGTAAAGTTTTGTTCTAATTTAAACATGTATACCTTTGATCATTAATTTGAAAAAATATATAAATGTTAACAGCATAAGATTTATGTTTTTAGAATATTTACTATGACATATAATACAGACACGAATATATCTTATGGATTGGACAATGGAGCAAGAACAGGGATGGAGAGACGGACGCAGGAAGTCCGATCTGTCTGTTTATTTACAAGGGTGTCGGTTGGTGAAACCACGGTGTTATATGAACCAGCAGTTGTACTTTACTATCAGAACTCTCCTAGCTAGTACACACACGTGACACGTCGGTCGGTTGGGCGAAGAATTTGTACACTGGCCATGCACAGATCTGCAGAGAGCTTGTGCTTGCAACTATGAACTATCTATAGCTAGCTAGTATCTGCATCATCTAGCTCTTTCGATCGAGAGAGAGAGATAAAGGGAAAACAGGGAGAGAAGGTAACTATCTACAGCTAACTACTCGTCGTCGTAGCTGTCGTCGTCGTCATCCTCATCCATGTCGACCGTGAGCTCAGGGCCAAGATATGGCGCCCCGGCGACGGTGAAGCCCTCGGGCAGGTCCGTCTCTTCCAAGACAGCGAAACCCGGGAGAGACGGGACGGGGACGTTGGTGAAGTAAGTCGAGGGGCGTCCGTGGTCCTCCGAGTATGGCGGCGTGAGGACGTCGAGGATGGCGCAGGGCGTGACGGCGGTGAAGGCGTGCAGGTTGCCGCCGCTGCGCGGGAAGAGCACGGACGCCTGGCAGGGCGCGCGGCGCACCACGTCCGCGGCCACCACCCTGGCCAGGCCACATTTCCTCCTCGACGGCGACGGCGAAGGCGCGGCGACCCAGTCGTAGGAGCGCACGCGCACGGAGCCGTACAGCAGCTTGCTGAGGACCACCATCTCCGGGTGGTCGTGCAGCGGCAGCGTCGCGCCGGCCGGGAAGCAGAAGACGCCGATCTGAAAGCAGGCAACACGCCGGGCCGGGGTCAGTATTCAGTACAAGCACAACACAACACAACCCAACCGACCACAAGCTCGATCCGCCGCGCGGCTACACAGCAGCCCCTGCTTACCGAGAAATCGTCGCACTGGTGTATGTGCACGTAGGTGATCTGCGTGAACGCCGGCGCCGGCAGGAGGCGGCTGCCGCTCTTGGGGCTCAGCTCGTCGTCGGACGAGGACGACGTCGGCTTCTCCCCGTCGTCGATCCCGACGTCGGCTGCCTCCATGCCATCTGAACCAAAGGAAAACATTTATGAGTCGTCTTCATTCACCAGCCGGCGAACACCAGGACGCATGCAAAAAGAAGAAATGAAGCCGAAGCAAGGCATAGGCACGACAGAAGTAGTGAACTGACCAAGGATGTTCTGCAGCCATCTGATCTCCCCGACCGTGGGCGCCGCCGCCGGCGAGGAGAAGACGACGTCGCAGGCGTCGTAGAGCCGCTGCACCTTGCTCAGCGCCATGATGTGCGGCGGGAACGCCACGGCCATGGTGAGTGAGTGAGTCCCTGCAGGTCGTCGTGTCGATCGCGCCCTGGAGCCTGGAAAGTGGAAATTGGGGGCTGCGTCGCACTGCTGGATCGGGCCCGGATTATAAAGCTTTGGCGTGGCATCGCGTGCGTACGTGGTGCGCCGTGGGTGTTCTGGATGCACATTCTGGCATTCCGCGACCGCCCAAACCCCAAACGGCCAAACCGTGGGCCTCGCCTGCTTTTTCCAGGGGCCCGGGCAACCCAAGTTTGCGGCCGTTCCAGCCAGCCAGGCAACCCAACCCCCGTGCACGGCGTGTTTGGATCGAGCCCTCGCAGGCAGATGCCTGCCAGGCAGCTCATCCTGTCTCCAGACGTGGGAAATCCACCTGGGATTAACGCGCGCTCCAGGAAAGTCTGGCCAGTCTGAAACCAAACAAGCCCGCTGCTGTTTCTGACGGACGGCGCTGCCTGCGTTCGCTCGCCCCCCTTTTTTCCCTTCCTTACAGTAATTAACTTAGTAAATAAAACAAGTTGCTGCACGGAACTTGTGGCCTGTGTTTGGTCGCTTGGGATCTCGACAGCGTCCTTATTGGGGTTCGGGTTTTGTACATGTAGCCGTAGTAGCGCCCACTTGATATTTGATACTGCCTTGTTTTATTCTGTTTCCGGAATGGTTTAATGCTACTAGCCTAGTAGTACCACCGTGTTAGCAAAGTTTTATGCATGTACGTACTACTTAGTAGTATTGCTGACATAAACCAAATCTTACATTGCTATCTCTCCTGTACTGTTTGGGTCACGCTAATAAGGTACTCCCTCTGTGGTAAAACACAAGTCATTTCAGTTTTATCCAAGTTAAATTTCTATAACTTTTACCAAGTTTATAAAAAAATGCAGCCAGCCCCATCTACGCGGCTTTATAAAATTCACCATAAAATGTATATGTTTTTTCTTGAGAAATCATGAGATATATACATGTCATATCTAATAATATATGTAAAACCGAAAAGAATTACATTTTGGAATAGAGAAAATATAGATCAGTGTTGACATTGCTTAAATTAGCAGTGGACAGTGGCGTAACCAGGGGGACAAGCAGGGGCCTGGCCCCCCCTAAGCACGGTAGATTTTCTTTAATACCCCTACAAATATTTTGGATTTACAGCATAACAAAGTAACTATACAGCCATTTTTTATTAAAATATTGTGATTTTGATTATAAATAGTATAAAATATTTAAAAATGTATTGAGACATACACCTGTATATATTTTATCACATTTAAAGATGTCATCGTATTTGTTCAGTCCCCCTTAATCAAAATCGCTGGTTCCGCCATTGACGGTCGAAGATAGAAACCAGGAGCCAAAAAAAAAAGGGCCTGACGACAAGCTACGTATATACGTATAATCCACTGCTAATAAGCTGA